TTTGAAAGTGTTTATTTTCAAATAATTATAATTATCTTCCAGCGCTTGGCAAGTTATGGTATCACAGTGTCTGAGCTGACTGGAGACCACCAGTTGTGTAAAGAGGAGATCAATGCCACTCAGATTATTGTGTGCACCCCTGAGAAATGGGACATTATAACAAGAAAAGGTGGAGAGCGTACCTACACTCAGTTAGTGCGCCTTATTATCATTGTGAGTAAATGTAGTATTATATATTATTAGCTGAATGCACTTCTTCAAACGATGTCATGATCTGATAAACCTGAATATGTACAGGATGAAATCCACCTGCTGCATGACGACAGAGGACCTGTTTTGGAGTCTCTTATTGCGAGAACCATTCGTAATGTTGAGCTGACCCAAGAGGATGTGCGCCTGATTGGCCTCAGTGCCACCTTGCCTAACTATGAGGATGTTGCCACATGTCTGCGTGTAGATCCTGCTAAAGGGCTCTTCTATTTTGACAACAGGTAATAATAACAGAACAACCTTGGTTCAACTGTCTAAGAAATTACAAGTTTTAAGAGTTTAAAACAAAAAATGTCTAAAATATGTAATATAACTCAAATCTGATACGCTATTTTCCTTAGTTTCCGCCCTGTGCCCCTGGAGCAGACCTATGTTGGAATCACAGAGAAAAAGGCTATCAAGCGTTTCCAGATCATGAACGAGATTGTGTATGAAAAAATTATGGAGCACGCTGGAAAGAATCAGGTGTGCTTTTTATATTAACATATGCAAGCAATTTAAAAATCTATACAATTTTTCTTTTCTTGTGTGTAATCTGTGTTATTTCACAATTTTTGAACAGGTGTTGGTATTTGTACACTCAAGGAAGGAGACAGGAAAAACTGCCAGAGCAATAAGAGACATGTGTTTAGAGAAAGATACACTGGGTCTGTTCCTTAGAGAGGGCTCAGCATCTACAGAGGTGTTGAGAACTGAGGCTGAGCAGTGCAAAGTAAGTCAGTTACACTTATTATTACATTGTATATTGCTTTGTCCTAGTATCAGTTCTGAAAATTGTATACCTTTTTTTTAGAACCTTGAGCTGAAGGATTTGCTTCCTTATGGTTTTGCAATCCACCACGCTGGTATGACTAGAGTGGACCGTACTTTGGTGGAGGATCTATTTGCTGATCGTCACATCCAGGTGCTGGTCTCCACAGCGACTCTGGCTTGGGGTGTCAATCTCCCTGCTCATACGGTCATCATCAAAGGCACACAAGTGTACAGTCCTGAGAAAGGCAGGTGGACTGAGCTCGGAGCACTCGACATTTTACAGGTAGGTCAGAGCACTTGTATACTTGTATATACTTATATTTACTTGTACTTATACTTACTATATATACTATACTATTATATTATATATATATATATATATACTATTATACTTTATACTTATATATACTTGCACTTGTCTTGTATACGCAATCCTCTGTGGATTCCATGTAATGCATCAGTCAATTATATTTTTGCAGATGCTTGGTCGAGCTGGTCGTCCGCAGTATGATACTAAGGGCGAGGGTATTTTGATCACATCCCATGGAGAACTGCAATACTATCTCTCTCTCCTGAACCAGCAGCTGCCCATTGAGAGTCAGATGGTGGCTAAGCTGCCTGATATGCTGAATGCCGAAATAGTACTTGGCAATGTACAAAATGTCAAGGTAAGTGGCTAATATAGTGACCAATATGTTTTTTAGAAAACTACTTAACATAGCATTTGTTTTTAGGATGCTGTAAACTGGCTTGGCTACACATACCTGTATGTACGGATGCTCCGCAACTCTCCTCTGTATGGCGTCTCCCATGACGACAAGACCACGGATCCACTCCTTGAGCGTCGCAGGATGGATCTTATACACACTGCAGCCAGTGTCCTGGACAAAAACAATCTCATTAAATATGATAAGAGAACTGGGTCATTCCAGGTAGATTTTTTTCCATTTGTTTATATATTTTAATAACATATTTTATAACACAGTATTATATATTTAAATAAATTTTCATCTATGCATTTAGGTTACAGATCTTGGGCGCATTGCTAGTCACTTTTACATTACACATGACTCCATTCAGACATACAACCAGCTGCTGAAGCCTACTTTGAGTGAGATTGAACTCTTCCGTGTTTTTTCCCTTTCATCAGAGTTCAGAAATATCACAGTTAGAGAGGTGGGTTGAGCTGAATTAATTCAACATAAGACATAAGCATTTGTAAAATGATTACTGTTTGCACTTTAGGAGGAGAAACTGGAGCTACAGAAATTACTGGAACGTGTCCCAATCCCAGTAAAGGAAAGCATTGAAGAGCCAAGTGCAAAGGTGAGTAACATGTCTTCAATTGAAGTGTTTAAGTGTATTTAAAGTCTTTCAATTTGACAAATGAAGCATGTTTTTGTTCTCAGATAAATGTGCTACTCCAAGCTTACATCTCTCAGCTCAAACTAGAGGGCTTCGCTCTTATGGCAGATATGGTCTATGTTACACAGGTATGGAAGCACAATTAGGGTTTAATTAGGATGCATCACAAAAACATTTCATCTGACTTTTTTTTTTTCTTTTCAGAGTGCTGGCAGACTTATGCGTGCTATATTTGAGATTGTACTCAACAGAGGGTGGGCACAACTCAGTGACAAGACAATGAACCTTTGCAAGATGATTGACAAAAGAATGTATGTTTTACTAATGCGCAGTTGTTTTTGGTTTTTTTATAATATTTCCAATTATATGAATATTGCCTTTTTTTTCTTCAATAAATTTTTCCATAGGTGGCAGTCAATGTCTCCTCTGAGGCAGTTCAAAAAACTTCCAGAGGAAGTGATCAAAAAGATTGAAAAGAAAAATTTCCCATTTGAGCGCCTGTATGATTTGAACCACAATGAAATCGGTAAGTTTCTTTAAAGAGCAAAGAATTCAGTTTCTTGCTTTGGATTTCTGTTGATAAGTATTATGTTTTAGGGGAGCTTATCCGAATGCCCAAAATGGGAAAGACTATTCACAAGTTTGTGCACCAGTTTCCTAAACTGGACTTGGCCGTTCATTTGCAGCCCATCACTCGCTCCACACTAAAGGTGGAGCTCACAGTTACCCCTGACTTTCAGTGGGATGACAAGGTTAGTCATTTAGCAGAATACTGCATATTTCATATTGGACTTTATACACCATGTTTCATCAAGGACTCTTTAAGATAATATTTTTAATCCGTTTAGATTCATGGATCATCTGAGGCTTTCTGGATCTTGGTGGAGGATGTTGACAGTGAAGTAATCCTGCATCATGAATATTTCCTTCTCAAATCTAAATATGCCCAGGATGAACACCTCGTGACATTCTTTGTCCCTGTGTTTGAGCCTCTACCACCACAATACTTCATCAGAGTGCTATCAGACCGCTGGCTCTGTAAGTGTGTTGTATGAAATGATTTGATGTGTCCGGTGTGTATCTTTTTTTTAATAATATTGTGTATTTGTCCTTCATTAGCTTGTGAGACCCAGCTCCCTGTGTCCTTCCGCCATCTGATCCTCCCAGAGAAGTACCCTCCACCCACAGAGCTGCTGGACCTGCAGCCTCTGCCAGTCACTGCTCTCAGGAACTCTGCCTTTGAGGCTCTCTACCAGAACAAGTTCCCCTTCTTCAACCCCATTCAGACTCAAGGTACAACTTCAAATACACTTGTTGAATTTACACTGTTTGAATTTTCAACTTAAATAATCTTTGTTCTCATAGTTTTCAACGCTATCTACAACAGTGATGATAATGTGTTTGTGGGAGCTCCAACTGGTAGTGGTAAGACCATATGTGCTGAATTTGCCATCCTGAGAATGCTCCTGCACAATGCCGAAGGCCGCTGTGTTTACATCACACCCATGGAGGCACTTGCCGAACAGGTAAATGTTTTAGAGATATATTGGTATTATCAATTTTAATTGTGTTTTAACAAAAAGGCCAAAGTATTTGTGTTATGAATTGAATGTGTTTTTTTGTTGTTCTTCTTTTATTAGGTATTTATGGACTGGCATCAGAAGTTTCAGGATGTCTTGAATAAGAAGGTGGTGCTTCTTACTGGAGAGACGAGCACAGATCTGAAGCTTCTGGGGAAAGGAGACATTATAGTCAGTACTCCAGACAAGTGGGATATCCTATCTCGACGCTGGAAACAGAGAAAGAATGTCCAAAATGTCAGCCTTTTCATTGTGGATGAAACACACCTAATTGGAGGAGAAAATGGGGTGAGTTTACAATGACAACTAGCATTTATTTCTTAAAATAAACTTGAAATAATTCAAACTTTCTTCTCCAGCCTGTCCTGGAGGTTATCTGCTCAAGAATGAGGTACATCTCCTCTCAAATTGAGCGCCCCATCCGCATTGTGGCTCTGAGTTCATCGTTGTCCAATGCCAAAGACGTGGCTCACTGGTTGGGCTGCAGCACCACAGCAACATTTAATTTTCATCCCAATGTCAGACCTGTGCCTCTGGAGCTGCATATTCAGGTGTGTGATTGTGTTAAATCTTTAACAACTCTTAACTGAGTTTACTTTTATGTGTTTGTTATTAATGGGCACACTGCATATACTGAACAATGAAAGGATGTAGAAACATAAATGACCATAAAGTGTAGCAGGCCAATACATCACACCATTAAACTCACATTAATACAACCTATAAAAGTTAATATAAATAATGTTATCATTCTGTTTTGGTGACTTGTTTTGTTTAGGGCTTTAATGTGAGTCACACACAGACCCGACTCTTGTCTATGGCTAAACCTGTATACCACGCCATCATGAAGCACTCTCCCTCCAAACCAGCAGTGGTTTTTGTCCCCTCCCGCAGACAGACTCGCCTGACAGCTATCGACATCCTCACCTTCTGTGCTGCTGATGTGGTCCCTCAGAGGTTACTATGCATTCTGTATCAATGTTATATTTATCTACTTTAAATTATAGCACAGGAAAGCTAACATTTGTGTTTCTGAAGGTTTCTGCATTGCAATGAGAAAGACCTGGCACCATTCCTGGAGAAAATCAATGATGCTACTCTAAAAGAGACTCTGGCTAATGGCGTGGGTTATTTGCATGAAGGCCTGTCTGCCACTGAGCGCAAAATAGTTGAGCAGCTTTTCAACTCAGGTATGACTCACCACTCCTGCACCAGCTCCTTTTGGAAAAATCGATACTCCAGAGTGTTTAAAGTTATTGTTTCTATTTAAAGGGGCTGTTCAGGTCGTGGTATCCTCTCGTTCACTCTGCTGGGGTATCAACATCGCTGCACATCTGGTTATTGTCATGGACACACAGTACTACAACGGCAAAATTAATTCGTAAGTTTTCTGCACTTTATATTACTAGAAGTTTTACAATAATTGTTTTCCAACTCGCATGAAACTTTGTGTCTTTTAGCTATGTGGACTATCCAATTTATGACATCCTCCAAATGGTGGGCAAAGCAAACAGACCAATGCTAGATGATGAAGGCCGTTGTGTCATCATGTGCCAAGGCTCCAAAAAAGTAAAGCCTTACTTTGTTTTGCTTTAATATATTTTGCCATAAACAAACAAATTTATTTATTTTCTTGCACTCATAGGATTTCTTCAAGAAGTTCCTGTATGAGCCTCTGCCAGTGGAGTCCCACTTGGATCATTGCCTCCATGACCACTTTAATGCAGAAATTGTCACTAAGACAGTGGAGAATAAACAGGACGCTGTGGACTACCTGACTTGGACATTTCTCTATCGCCGTATGACACAGAATCCCAACTACTACAATCTGCAAGGTCAAGAACCAGTACAGACAAGATTTTATGAATGATGGCTATAAATGTAATTTTTTTTTTAATTTTTTTCAATAGGTATGTCCCATCGTCATCTGTCAGACCATCTTTCTGAGCTGGTGGAGAACACACTCCATGATCTGGAGCAGTCCAAATGTATCAGCATTGAGGACGAGATGGACGTGGCACCCCTTAATTTGGGCATGATCGCTGCCTATTACTACATCAACTACACAACAATTGGTCTGTACAATATTCACTGTGACTCATTGTTATTCTTTGTTGCGTCCTGTTGTAAACGTAACTTGTGTTTTTGTATAACAGAGCTGTTCAGCATGTCTCTCAATGCTAAAACAAAGATTCGTGGATTGATTGAGATCATCTCCAATGCTGCTGAATACAAGCACATTCCAATACGGCACCATGAAGACACCCTTCTCCGACAGGTACTAAATATGTTCAGTTTCATTTAAAAGCAGTTTATAATGAATTATAACTTAACTTCATTGTTTACACAGTTTGATATTAATGTAATCTTTTCCAGCTGGTTCAGAAAGTACCTCACAAACTGAATAACCCAAAGTTCAACGACCCACATGTGAAGACCAACCTGCTGCTTCAAGCCCATCTCTCAAGGATGCAGCTGAGTGCTGAGCTGCAGTCAGACACTGAGGAGATCCTGAGCAAGGTCAACTCTAAATGCAGAATATAAAGGCTGAAGTATAGTTCTGCGTTGACTCAACGCACACTGCCGCCGTTGCCTTGTCGCCGTCATTTTTGATTTGTGGATCTGCGTCGAGGTCTATGCACCGCGAAGTAATTCACTGCCAAAAGCTAGGGGGCGACGATATCTGTCCATTCATATATACGGTCTGTGTGTATGACCAGCAGACGTATTATCTCTGAAAAGTTTAACATGAACCATCTCCAACACGATAGAAACACAGAACAGACACACCATTAGTACAATATCCCTCTGTCACAGAAAGAACATATTCCACTGAGTCATGTCCTTTTTAAGTCCGAGAGAAGCTGACTGCGTACCAGGAGCGAGCTGTTTTATGAGCGCTTTGTTTATGTAAGTTAGCCATGCGGTTTTAAGTTTCGTTTCTGTAAAACGTAAACACATATGCGCAAAGCTGCATTAAACACATTATTTCTCAATGTATACTGAAAGAAAGAAAAGCAGACAGGAAATGTATACAGAGCGGTGGTACGGAGGACCGATCACACCTCTTATCGTTTGCGTCGCTTCCCATGCTGTCTGCATCGTTTTGACACGTAGTTAGAACATTTCTGAGGTGTACGTCGGTCGAAGCAGAGGCCCTGCGTAGGGGGTACGCATCGACGCAGACTCTGTGTCGTGACGCAGACGATTTGACGCCGGACCGTAAATTGGCCTTAACACCTTACTGTTGTGTTGTAGGCCGTTCGTCTCATCCAGGCTTGTGTGGATGTGCTGTCCAGTAACGGGTGGCTGAGTCCTGCTCTGGCTGCTATGGAGCTGGCTCAAATGGTTACCCAGGCCATGTGGTCCAAGGACTCATATCTCAAACAGCTTCCCTTCTTCACATCAGAGCACATCAAACGTTGCACTGACAAGGTACCATAGCCATGATTGCATTCTAGAAATGTTCAAGTTGTTTCTTTTTTGAAGATGTCTATATGTCAAGGTTTTATTTTGTCCTTGTTGTTTTCTGCAGGGAGTGGAGAGTATCTTTGACATTATGGAGATGGAGGATGATGAGCGCACTGCTCTTCTACAGCTGACGGATGCCCAGATGGCAGATGTGGCACGTTTCTGTAACCGTTATCCCAACATTGAGCTTTCCTATGAAGTTGCTGAAAAGGATAACATCAAGAGGTATCCCCAGCAATCCATCTAAAAGTATGCTCAATTTAACAGAGAAATGTAATAATATTGTTGTATTTATAGTGGCAGTCCTGTTTTGGTTCAAGTTCAGCTTGAGAGAGAGGAGGAAGTGACAGGACCTGTCATTGCACCACTCTTCCCTCAGGTCAGTGCACCACTGTTACGACCCAGCTCGTTTGGAGTGAGGGAAGTAACAAAAATAAAACAAAGATGTAAAATGGAATAAATTAAATAATGTTTAATTAACAGGAATGTAAAGGTAAATTAACAAAAGACTAAAAATATACAGAAAGCAACCTAAACTAAGAAACAGAATAAACAGAGTTTTGTGCCACAAAAGGGGTCACGCAGGCTTACAAAAAACGAGTGGTAAAACTTAATGGCACACACTAAACTAAAACACAAGTTCCCCAAATTAAACCACATAAACCCACAAACAGAATCGAGTGACCAAATCAAAAAAGGCACAAAACAGAACGAGACGAAACTACATACACAGAAACAAAATGGCATACTGGCCACCAAGGCCAGCAGCCCCGAACAGGTGCTACTAAAACAAAGTTCCCCAAATTAAACCACATAAACCCACAAACAGAATCGAGTGACCAAATCAAAAAAAAAGCACAAAAAGAACGAACAAAACAGAAACAGAAACATACACAGGAAACCAAAACAGGCAGCACCACAGACCCAGCAGCATGCCAGAACAAAAACCAAGTGCCAGAACAATAAGGTCCCCTTAAAATAGGGGGGAGGTAGGTGGGGAGGGGTGTGGCGTCGACCTGCCCCACCAATCACGGACCAGGACTCCTGCAGCAGGAATCAAAAGAACTCAGCAAAAATTACACAAATTAGAACTAAGGCCTGGGCCATAACAACCACAAATTTGTTGAAAGAATATTTTTGTTGCTTTAGGTTCTGACTGTTAACCTTTTTTTTGTATAGAAACGTGAGGAAGGATGGTGGGTGGTTATCGGAGATCCCAAGTCCAACAGTCTCATTTCAATTAAGAGGTTGACACTTCAACAAAAAGCAAAGGTCAGTTTCCATTTTTGTTATTTTTATGTACTTCTCACACCAACAAACTCAGCTTTTGTTTTTGGTTTGGTTTATCTTTTAGGTGAAGTTGGACTTCGTAGCACCAGCCATGGGTGTTCATAACTACACTCTGTATTTTATGAGTGACGCATACATGGGATGTGACCAGGAGTACAAGTTCAGTGTGGATGTGAAAGAGGCAGACAGCGAAGGAGAAAGTGACTCAGACTAAATAGAAAAACAATTTATACATATAAAACCAAATGTAAGCATGTGCAAGTGTTGATATTCTGCCTCCATAAATCTGCTAGTTATATTTTCTGTTAGGTTAGCCTATCAAAACCTGGGTTGTGACTTTTTAGTGTAAGAGTAGGCTTTTTTTTAATGAAGTACTTCTTCAAATCTCATACATTTGATAAAGTGTGTTAGGTTATTCTGCCCCACTGACTAAAGAAAAACTTTTCAAAGTAATTTTAAATTGTCCTGTCATTTTCTTTTTTGTAATAAAGAGATGCAAATAAAAACAAAACTGATGATTGCAAAAACTTGTGCATTACAGTTTATTTACTTGCTTTACTTAAAATGTAGATATATAGCTTTATTTAAAAAATTTTTAAAAAAATGCAGATAAGGCCCACTTTTATTTCAGAATCTGCCTGTAAGCTGAGAGAACAACACTTATTTTAACCAAACCTTTCTTGCCTTAGATCAGTGTTAAACATAAGCAAATATTACTTTATTTGTGGCTGCTGGCATGTTTCAGTGGATTATAAACAAAAGCTCTGATGCCCTTTCTGGGCTTGAATGGAAATTCAGCTCTCCTCTTGAAACCTCCAAATGGCAATCTCCCCATTGTCACTACATGATGCGAGTAGCCCTGCCTCCTTTGGATTCCAGGTGACACAGTTCACATCTTGGTCGTGTGCTTTGGCCACTTGAGCAACCAATGAGAACACAGGCTGTTCTGGATCTGCAGTTTCATCTTCTTTAAATACTCGCACTGCATCATCCCCACATGCTGTTGCCAGGGCTCCAGTCAGGCGACACCTAGACAACATGAAATTGTATCATTTGATTTCATTAACTGGGAATAATGGGCACCATTAAATACCTTACCAGGAAACGTCATAGATTGTTCGACCATGATAACCAGACAAAGTGCAGACACACTTCCATGACAAGTCTCCTGTTAATGTTAAATACAAAGTTTTAAACTGCAAATTCAGATGTAGATTTTAAACAAAAAACAATCAGTAATTTTGTCTACTGTATGCTCACCCTGTTGATCATCTGGTGAGCAGTTTTTCCAGATCTTCACTGTGCGATCATCACTGCAGGAGGCGAGTCTCTTTCCAGTGTTATCAAAGGACAGACTCCATACAGTGGATGTGTGTCCTTCTAAAGTGACGCGGCATTCCCAGTCATCATCATCCTCTTTATAAATACATATATTGTTGTCGTAGCTCGCCGATGCTAAAAGCTATACACATTTGCACAAAACATTGTGACAAAACTTGCATGCAATATAAAACTGTAATTTACCAGACCTACTTCCTGTGTAGGGTGCCATACGACATGCTTCACATCCTGTGTATGAGAGTTGACAACAGTCACACACTCATACTCATCTTCTTCATCAACTGGAAGAAAAAGAAATCAATGGGCAATACATGGCTATATAAAAAAATTAAATAAATAAATAAAAAAGTCAGTTCTATATTGTGTAGACAAACCTTCCCAAACCCAGACACTCTTGTCTCTACTGCATGTTGCAAGCAGATTCCCAGATGGGGCCCAGGCAACACATTTAACTTCGTTCTCATGGCCTTCCAGGACAGTCAAACTCTAAGGTGGGTCAATAAGTGTGAGACAATAACTAATGTAATAATACATCTATGCAAAATAATACCTCAAAATCATCATTCTTCTTTTTCCATATACACGTGGTGGCATCAAAGCTGGCAGAGGCCAAATAATTTCCACAAGGAGACCAGGCAACTTTCCTCACAGTGCGCTGATGTCCATCTTCAAGAACACTCTTGCATATCCAAGTGTCACCTGTAATGAAATGTAATTTATGTTGGTCTGATCAAATTATAGCAAGTCCTAGTGTTTTTGACATAATTGGAACAACATATATCAAAAGTAAGACAGGGAATTGTGTGCTTAGGTTAGGCTTGGTTCTGGGTACCTTCTTGACCCCATATCCGAATGGCCTTGTCCCCTCCACAGGAAGCCAAAAGCGTCCCGTTTGGGCTCCAGCTCACGAACCAACATCGAGAGTCTGGGTGAGCGCTCAGCCTCTGGACCAAAGACAAACCCTCCTTCATGGTTCCAAACGCTTGTCAGCTTTTATTACCAGATAATATATCAATAGCTCAGTGCTGTCAAAATAACCCCTCCGTCTCTGTTCTTGCTGCGACCATTGACTCAATATAACCACGCGCAACCAAGATAATGTCACACACCAAAATGCTACCTTGAAAAGTCGAAATTATTTAACTTTAATTAAGTTTCAAACACCGTCAGAGTCCAAAGCTGAGATCAAAATAAAAAACAAGAGTAAAACATCCGCGTTACAGACATGCCGCCATCTTTCCAGAGAAGTCCCAAAGCATTGTGGGGCAGTTTGTTATAGAGATAACATAAAACATTACAATAATTTGTATATGATGAATAATATGCATACTTGTGAAAGCAGATTCATATTGTATACTGCATAAAATATACAATTATGAAAGGACTGTAAAAATCATGACTGTAGGCTAAGACATCTCCGCTAGATGTCAGAATTTGTGTGGGACTTAGAGCGTAGTGAGGAGCACGAAGAAGAATGAGGTGAACACGGAAGTCAACATCACGGAGAAAGACTGTAATCTGTCTTTTGTTTTGTTTTACTCTTAATTTAGTTCCTTGTCGAAGGACATTTGTCGACTTTGTTGCAGAGCCCGCTTTTTATTAGTCTGTAGTTCGGTCTGTGTGTTTCTGCCGTTTATTCAAGGATAGACGTCGATTTTTGTCGTCATCTGATCGAGGTTACGGGCTAACAACTAAGCTAACAGGCCTGAAGGCCATCTGTTCATTGTCTACCGTTTCTTTGCTGGTTATATTTATGCAATCCCGCATTTAGCAGCCTGTGATTGTTCTAGGTCTTTAAAGTCGTAAACATTACAATATACATGTTGTCATTACTTTAAGCCACAAGTGAACTGGCTACTGGCACATTTATTCGTGTACCCAGTCCACGGATTGTCCTTACCATCGGGACGGCAAGTATATATTATTATATATATATCGTATAGTTATTAGGAAGAGTGGATTACTAATCTTATCTAGTGGGTGACCATGTACGCCCCTCCCGGATCTACTGTGACTGGAGTTCGGAGGCGGAGAGGCGGCTCCTCTCTGCCCAAACAGCCGGAGCGGAGCTTGGTGTCGGCTCTGCCTGGTGCTCTGTCCATAACAGCGCTATGTACGGCCCTAGCCGAGCCCGCATGGCTCCGGATTCATGGAGGAACTTGTCCAAGACAGGAGCTTGGGGTTGCAGACGTGCTGGGTTACATTGACCCCAAGCTTTTGGATGGTGAGCATAATACAAAGAAAGTGAATTAGGTACATTTATAAATGTGAGTGCTTCATTTAAAAAAATGTTCTGCCTTGTTTTTTACTTCCAGATTACTGTGTGAACCCTCAGACCATATTACTGCTGAGAGTCATCGCTGCTTTTTGTTTTCTTGGCATCCTCTGCAGTCTGACAGCCTTTCTCCTGGATGTGTTTGGACCCAAACATCCTGCTCTCAAAATTACACGCAGATATGCATTTGCACATATTCTCACAGGTGAATAGCTTTTAAAGTTCAATCTTTGACACATACAGCATAAGAATATGCCTTAATGTGTATTTTCTGTCTCTAGTTCTACAATGTGCTACAGTCATTGGCTTCTGCTATTGGGCTTCAGAGCTCATCCTGTCTCTACAGCAGCAACATAAAAAGTACCATGGCTCTCTCATATATGTCACATTTGCCATTAGTTTTTATCTGGTGGCTGGGGCTGGAGGGGCGTCGATTCTAGCGACAGCTGCAAATCTCTTGCGCCACTACCCGACTGAAGAGGAGGAGCAGGCCCTGGAGCTGCTCTCAGAGATGGAGGACAGCAGTGAAACTTTTCCTGCCGATTATGATATCGCCAATCAGTTTCAACCACCGCCTGCCTACACGCCTTAATGTTGCCAAATTGACTCTTTAAAAAATCGTCATATATATATAAGCACGGCAATTGGCTTGATGAGCAAATCCACTCAATATTGCAATATCTTTGCAGTACTATTTACAATGAACTTTGCGTTCAGTAGAGCATAAACTCCTTGACTGGTGCTTGAATGCATGAAAGCTGTCCCTGGTGGTGGATGAACAAGGAGGGTAATATTCCACCAAACAAATGTCATTTGCATGTAAATGGCTTTTAAAATGGGATCTTTACATGTAAAGAAAAAAAAAAAAAGACATAAGGAGGTTTACAGTATGACTTCTAAGGAGAGACAGTGGAAGACAGTGGAATAAGTGCAAATAGCTTAGCAGTTCTCTTTTGAACTTTGATTTTTGAGCACCATTTAAGTTTTTCTTATGCTTGCAATATGTATAGTTTTATGTACTGATCAAACTTTCAATTACTTTTAAGTTTCAGGCATTTCTTTTTGTATGTGTATGGTTAAAATAACCATTATTTATTTATGATTGTTTCTACCCTTTTTCTTATTTCTGACTCTGTGAACGTTTGACACTGTTTAGTCTTATTCATTCACACGTGAAACTTGCTAAAGACGAGAAATCAGTCCTTGCAATATTATTGGATTTGTTATGTATTTATATATCCACAAATAGGGAAACATCTTTGTTTTTCAAAAAAAAAAACATTTGATGAATATTCTTAAGTTCAAAGTCCAGCTATTGTAATCTGTGGTTCCCATGTCTGTCAATTTAAGTATGTTTTGTTTTTTTGCATGATTTTGTGTACTGATTTTTGGTGTACCAGGCACCTATAGGAGAAGCTATTTAGGTTCCATGGTCTAAAATAGTGGTTGACGGTGGTAACGCACTAGGTTGTGTTTTGCTTTACCGATGCCATCTTCATTTTGGTCTTTAAACTGTTGCAACACTTTCATCAAAAGTATGTAAATATTGACTGTTTATACATAAAAAAAGATCATAATAAATTTACTTTTATGTTTGTCCTTAGTATTGACCGGATTGAAAATTGACTTTGACATTTTAGCGTTACAGACCAAAAATGGCATTACTGTTAAGAGCCTTATCACTTAACAGGGAGTGTGAACTTTAAGTCTACCTTATGTAGTCCCTTAATCTAAAGACACATTGTATATTTAATGCTCTATTGAAGATCGGTGCAATGTATTTGTGTGTGTAAAGAGCCAAGCGGAAAAACTACAAATTATGTATATTTCACGTGTTAACAACTCAACCTTTTGAGCATTACTTAAGCCAAATACTTTAATCACAAGAATAAACAAGGAATTATGGTAGTGGAGTTTTACGTACGGGTCAGTCAAGGAAAAGAAACTGGCCCTTCAGAAAATTAGGTTTACGTTGAACAGCCAACCTCACTGGGATTCAGGCTCGGACTGGCAATCTGTACTACCGGGCAAATGCAACACCTGTTACTGGTCATTTTTGGCTGATGTCCTGCAGCTGCAGAACATGATGATACAGGTGAACTGACAGTACAGTGGTTTTCAATAGCCTATTGTGAACATGAATTAGTGCAGAGTCGTAATCATGATGCGCAACACCACGGTCATCGCTGAGACCTGGGCTCGACTCGACCACAAGTTTGACCTGATATACGCCAAGAGCGCCTCTGTCCACTGCTATGTGGGAAAAGGGATGGAGGAGGGAGAGTTCTCTGAGGCCAGAGAGGACATGGCTGCTTTAGAGAAATATTATGAAGTGGGCGCTGATTCTGTGAAGGGAGAAGGAGAGGAGGAGGGAGAGGAATATCAATTTGTATTAAACTGTTCAAAACTATCCAGTGTTCTGTTCTTTATCTGTTAGAAATGTTTTATGTAGATGTTAAAATTTATTGAAATGTATTATCATTCTGGCTCCTTCATTGAGCTGCTCCTGATATGACCATGCTGGGGAACTGTTACTTTGTACAGCACAATCCAAATGCATAGCAGGCATTTGGTCTTAATTCTAGACTGGCGAGTATGGCTCCCCTGCTCGCCTGTAGAGTGCTGCCTGAAATTAAGGTGACCATGGACTATGAGAAAGATGAGAAGAGCTGGTGGGCCGACAGTGGCCCAATACTAATCTGGTGGTGCGAGCTGTGAAGAATATGGGCACGCTCCACTAGATCCGCGAGCCCTACATTCACAGCAAATTCAAGTGTTAAATTCACGGTGTTGGCGCTGTTCTGAGTAAAGTGAAGAAAATCCAGGTATGTTTCAACATAGTAAAGAGTTATTTCAACTATGACAGTGCTGTAGAGTAAAATAAGTAGTTGACATAAAATGAGTAGTTGTTGATTCACCTGTTAACGTCAAACACTTAGAAAGTGTATATTTTGAATATTACAATACATCAGTGTTGGTCTTTTGTAACGTTTCCAGCGGGAGAACTACAGTCCGAGTGAGAAGCCACATTTCACCTTCCATTTGGATTGTGCTAACAGCTAACAGCGCAAAGCTAACAGCTAATAGCGTTTGTTTTTCATCAGAACCAGAATTCAACAAGCCTCAAGTCCAACCACCTGAGCTCTCACATGCCTCGGGTCAGATTACTTTACCTTTTTAGGACAATTTGCAGTTAATGTAGTTCATAAAAATATTAAATATATTTGGTCTAATGCTAGTAGTAAGCTAACTAACTTAGCTGTGCCAGTCAATGTCGCTGAGATTGATGTCCATGAAAATTGGGTAAAATAGCCACAAACTGTGCTAAATTAAGAGTAATGTTATGAGATATATATGTACTCCTATGTGCAATGTTTAGAGTGGTGAGTGGCGTGAGCGTGAGTGAGGGACTGCGTGCGCGCCCCCTGAGGCACGCGCTTTTGAATGGGCCCGCGGAGTGTACGGGTGTCGGTCTGCTTTTAGTTTTGCAATGTGTGAAATGAATGGTGAGGAGGCGACCGGATCATGTGCCATGTTATTTAGTGCAGTACGGCAAATAAAACCACGAGTCTTGAGCGAAGACCTGACTTGTTTATTGAGCCCACGCACTCACTGGAGGGTTCCGAACACGGGAGTTAAACCCCGAGGGACGAGCGGGCTGCTGCGCCCCTTTGGCCCTGGAGACGAAGACGCTTCTCCCCTGTGTCCTCTGACCACGGTCCGAGGACCGAGACAGGAACGGTTTAACAGTAAGGTTACTTCAAGAAAAATATTTCTCAAGTTTAAGTAAAAAATAGAAGTCCAAAAAATGTGTTAAGTAGCTAAGAGTAGAAGTATTTGCGGAAGCTACTCCTCAAGTAACTTAAGTTAACATAGCAATAGAGTTATTAGTTTTTACTATACACTAGTGTAAAAAACATCAAATCTTAACCGGTGTCAAATTCAACTATGAGGAGTGTGGTTACTTCACTTTACCCGTGTTGATCCTTCTACACTTTGGAAAGTGTAGTTTTAACTCATTTTATTGTATGACCATATGACATGGTAAAAGTGTTAAAATTAACAATATACAAGTTGAATAAACGCTCGAATTTGCTGTGTATCCTTTTAAGACTTTTTAACTTTTACTGTTTTTACAATTCTATCTGTTCCCCTCTTTGACCTTAATTTATTGTCTTCCACAAGGCCTATGTGCATGAGAAAAATCGAGAGGTCAGTACTCCAGGTTTTGTGGGAGACTAAAAATTGCTATCACTACATATTTGATTGCCGTGGCAACATGGTCAAGCACATCAGTGCGTGTCAGTCAAATGAGAAGCTCAAGGGATCAAAAGCACATCTTTAGCTACAAAGTATGTGTTTTAGCAAAAGAAACCAGTTATACGCTGTTGAGTTAATTTGTGTTGAATTTTAGATGAGATAACAATGAGATCTTTTGTCTTAGACATCAAGACAGCAAAGTTCAATTTATCTGATTCGGTTTTTATTTTTTTAAATAAACTCTCACTACTGTGTACATCCAGCATAAACCATGTATTCAAACATATAAAAATGACAATAACAACCAAAAATATATAAAAAAAAAACATAACATTTTGTATAAAAGCTTCATGAAAAAAATGCATCTTTCTCTTAACATTTCTTTGGGGATAATTTTACCTCTTGATCATAGTCCACTTACAAAATTAGCTTTAATATACCCAGTATAATGTACAGGCTGTTCAGTAGTTGGGCACAAATTAGATAAGCAATAAGATTTGCAATCCACATTCAGAATCAAAAGTCAGAAAAAGACATTTTCACAGTGTTGCTTTCACATCAGCAATGTGTCTTGTAAACAGTTGCATTACAATACGGCAATACTTTAATAGTTATACAGAATATATCTGCTTAAAAATAAACACGGATTTGTACAAAATAATGTTTGATCTGGTGGTGAGCTTTATTGCCTGTAGCTTTAAACATAAGGCAGTATTCACTTTCCCTGTGTTATCAAGTTTTGCAGTGTAATATCTTTTTTTAAAAGGCTAAAAGGAGCATGTTATAGATCAATTCTAGTGAAGTAGCAGTTTCTCTTTAGAGGAAATCATATCAAAAGAGTTGATTTACATTAAATACATATAAACATTTGTACAGTAATTATGTACAAAATAATACTGGCATCAATAAATGGTTTCTTTAATAAAATCTGAACTTGCCAGTGCGTCTAAATCAAGAAAGTAACATATTTTAACATGGATGAAACATACCCAGAATTAAAAACAAGAGCTGTAAGAAGGTGTTGATAAGTCAAATGACTTCATTTGAAATACTGACACAGAAACATTTTACAAATACATATCTGAGATTAAGACAATTGTCATATGCATCTCTTTGATGAAAAGGCAAATCTTCAAAGCAATAGTTCTGAAATGTGACCTTCATAACCTAGTGGGCAGCTTTTATAAAAATCAGTCCTTGACACACCTACACACAGTCTTAGTCTTTTGTCTGATTGTCAGAGTATAACAAAAGTTTAACATGCAGTAGTTGCTTGAACCATTTATAAAAAATTAAACAATTACTTATTTTCAAACCTTTTCAAGGAGTTACAAAAATAACATGTATTGATATAATAGCAGAGCTGCAGCAGTGTTTTTCAAAATGTTATTTGGGGCCTTTCTTAGACAAATCTGGAAGAGAAGAGAGATAACACATGTATTAGAATAAGAATTCACTATACAGAATCGTTATACAAGCTACACATGCATGATCAAAAGGCAAGCAGGCAGCAGCAGGTGGAAAAGGGAGACAGGTGAGAGGACAGGCGGTTTAACGGACCGATGGAGCTGCTAGAGCAGAGCCGAGCTGGCCTCAGAGTCGCTGTCGTTGCCATGGTAACAGGTGGATTCCTGAGCTCGCCTGAACTCGTGGTACTCCTGCCGCAGAGCATTGAAACGCTCCTCACTTAGGGAGCGCCCATAGTGGCGAGGTGGGTTCAAAACAGGTGGACTGACTGAGGGGCACTGGCCTGGGAAAGGTATTATGGAGAGGAAATGCTTGGGTAGGCTCACAATAATCACAGCACAGGACACAATGAACACATGCAGAACAGTACAGATACATCAAGCTCTGCAAATACATGCAATCTGAATAAGACAATGAATATATTTTTACCTTTCTGTTGGTGATCCTGGAGGCCAGTGCACTGATCATGTCTGCCTTTCCAAAAGGCCACATTTGACTGATCCAATCTCATGGCCTCCAGGACTTCTACATCCACAAAGACATCAGTAGAGTCCCACTCATAACTCTCGTCTACTGATGTGTTCCTTCTATTGACATACACAAAAAATCTGTTAACAATAAACATTCCAAAAAAGCAGTAATGAACTCATTTTGGCAACATTAATTCCTGCTTTCACCACACTTGTCCACGTGTGGCGATGTTTCACCTTTTGGCTCTCCTCTCAGACTGCTCCATATGGCGTTCACTCTCCTCTGTTGTTTCAGGAGAGCTGAGCAGAGTTGGAGTGATGGACAATGACTGGCGATAGAGACCAGCACTTCCACGGCCGCTACTCTGGCTGGCATAACTGGCTCGCCCCCCATCTCTGACCTCTCTGTACTCAAGGTCCCCAGGACGTCCCATCATCCTCTCTGTGTGTCTGTATGGCTCCCCCTCACATGGAGTTGGACAAGGGGGGTAATAGGGGGAGGGCCAGCTGATGCCCCGTGGCAAGTATGACCTTTGAGGGCCTCTTCTGTAGTCTATGGGTCTCATATACTCCCCTCTGGAGCCCGGCCATTGCTGGTACTGAGGTACAGAGACACAGGAGGGCGTAGGGACATACTTTGGCTCAGGGGGCCGCATGGATTCTTCAAATGAAGGAGACCACCTGCTACATTCAGGAAACACTGCAGCTTGTCGACGTGGATCACAGGGTTCTAACAAAGGGGAGGCTGAGGTTTGTCTTGGTGGGTACACTGCTGGTGTAAGGTATGGAGGACTAACTAAAGATCTCTGGGGATGATGTGATCTTTCTAAACTCCCCACGCTGGGCCTTCTGAAGGGCATGTATTCCCTCCAAGATGGCCCTGGCTTCATAAAAGAAGGAGGGGTGCGCCCCAAACTATAGGATTTAACTCTGGCATCCGAGCTTGGAAACTCATCCCAGTAACATCTCTCAGAGACATAGGGTCTTGGGCTCTCAAAATGCTCCCATCTCTGAGCGCCTAAACTAAGAGATTTTTTCATAAAGCGTGGTGGCCCCATACCTGAGAGTGTTCTGCAAGGGCCAATACTTAAGGATTTCTTGAGAAATGGGACAGGAGCTTGAGATATACGTGACACAATGTTGTTAGCCCTGCTTCCCTGAGAAGCTGATCTTTGGGGTACCTCTGAGAAAGACTCACTGCTGTCAACAAAACTTGATGAATGTTTTGCAACTATGTCTGCCATGCCTTTAGCTGTACTGTACAATGTATGAGCTGATGAGGATCCAAGTCGCAACTCTTGTCTCTCTGCACTGGTCTTTCTTAGTCTAAGTTGGGTTTTCTCATCATAAAGTTGTCTACAGGTTTTTTCAGGGGCATATGTCACATTCTCATCAGGAAACCTGACTCTAAGTAAAGGATCTCTGGGTGCTTCCTGAACTATGTGTGAATCATCTTCTTCTATAAGACTTTGTTCAAATCTAACTCCCTTCAGATGTGACTCACTTTCTTGATTTTTCACATGTACCTCCCAGTTTTTAGGAACAACATCTGGCTTTGTCACAGGAGAAGCTCCTGCTCTTTCTTCAGAACTTTGTTGGGATTCAGTAGATTCACTTTCTTCCACTGGTTCATCCACACTCATTTCAATAAAACCTGGAAGGCTCAGATATTCAAGAATCGCACTCGTTTGCATAGGAGACATTTTCGGAGAGTCTACTACTGGTTTAGCTTTGAATCCAGACATTCTGGGAACAGACAACTGAGACTGGTCACTTTCTACTTCTTCTACCAGAGTCAAAGTTGTAATAGGACTAGGGCTGTCAGAGATGAGACATTTGTCACTTTTTCTAGAGCATGTTCTTACACCTTCTGTTTCGCGCTCATGATAGGGTAAAGTTGAGAAACTTGAAGGACTTGAATCTCTCCTGGATTTAAATTCTACTACAGTATTATCTCTGTGAGTATAGGGCCGAGCAGCAGCAGCAGAGTCCCAAGGCTGTGTACCTGCAATGGATCTTCTGTTATTTGCAGGCTTAACTGGACTAAGCGACCTGTCTCTTTGAGGCGACTGTAAGTGCAGCGCTGGTAGGCTTTCTGAGGTGAAATCAGGCGTCAAAGGAAGTGATGTGTTCTGCGTCACTGGGGACTGTACAGAGTCAGCATGAACAGAGTCCTCTGTACTGTCCCGGACTGTGTGAGAGAGTGCAGGTCTGGGGGAACTGCTCTCCCTTGGACTTTGAACAGGAACAAGACTGGTGACCGATGTCACAGGACTTATGTCCCAATGGATACGGGACATAGAGAGGCGGTCCATGGGGCTGCTCGTACTGCCAAAGTAACAAGCCTTTCTATAATCTGAGATCCGACTTGTTTGACCAGCTGCTTTGTGTTTCTGCCTAAAAGAAACCTCTTGTAGTTTCCACACAGGCTCTTTGTCTACTGCCTCTCTGTGGGGACTTCTTGTCTTTTCTGACTGAGCCTGACTTTGCTGATGGGCTGTATAAGCCTCCAGCTCCTTCTCTATTCCCTCTCTTGCTTCTACCAGCTGAACACACTTATTGATAGTGTCCAACTCCAGGTTTGTATCTAGTTGAGACACTAGAGTTCTGTCTTTTTCTCGTGATTGATTCAAATTGAGCCCGTCCCTCTCTTGATTTTTGCCTCTTCTGCCCAAACTGGGGAAGAGTTCCTCTGCGTGGTCCAGCATGCGGTATCTCCGTAGCGAGTCACTAGGTTTTTTCTCACTGTTGTCAGAGTAGAAACTTGCTCTTTCCAGAAGGGCTTCAGTGCTTTGTTCATCATCTGAGTAAAAACAGCCATGACGAGAGAGGTTTCTAGCCATGGCTCGTACTCTACCAGGAGAAGCAGGAGGCCTGCCCAGTTCAGGTACATCCACAGTTAGAGAAGAATTCTTTCTTTCGTCTTTTTCTGAGCTCAGGATACTAGACTTTGGAGAATCCCTGAATGATGTCCGATTGCTGCCAGAGCCACTTGCACTGCCATTATTTTGCAACACATTTTTAGCATTTGAACTCTCCTGCTGTGGCTGCACAATAAAACGTCCATCTGGTCCTCTGGAGATAGACTCCAGTGCAGTTGGAGATGGGGCTTGGGACCCCAGGTGGCTCTCAAACATGGTGTAGTGAGGAGGTGGAGACGAGTTACTCAAAAGCTGTTTCCGCTGGTCATAGTACTCTCCACGGCTGCCCTTTTCAAAAGAGGAACGATCGTGTGAAGAGGAAACACTGGGAAAGAAGGGCAGTGGTGGACACAGCTTCAACTTGAGAACACTGTCTGGACTCCGAGGAGGTGATCGAGCTCTAGAAAAAAAATTGGATGTATTTTTAGGGAAAATATACATTACAAACATGGCAGCAGTAGTAATGGTGTACTCACTGTGGCGATGAGCTCTTCAGTAAGGCATTGGGCAAGTCTGACAAAAGGAGAGAGAAATATTGAAAAACATTTCATATATATAAGTATGTAACACAATAAACATACCTCCTCTTCTCTTTTTGCGGCGCTGCTGTCTCCTGTGACTCATATAACAAGCTGTCACTAAAGACAAAACGATTGTTGCAAACAGGAAGCACATTCCAGCAATCACACCAGCCAACAAGGACTCTGGGACCTTTTCCAGAAAACTTGGACGCAGTGGATATACATCCATTCCTGTAAGGTACCAGTTATGGATAATATTTTATTTATAAAATGTAGGGACAAAGGGCATAATACTCACCCATTGTAGAGACATTGACAGAGTTACTGGGCACACTAAGCAGTTTATAGCTGCGGGATAGTAGTCTGAGATCATAATTTGAATCCTATAATGAATAACAAAATCATTATTAAGGCATAAAATGTTAGAAGTACAGAGATATAAGCAAATAAATGTTCTTAAAATAGTTACTCTTAAGAGTCCTTTCACAAGTAGTTCACTTTGATTTGCGCCAATGTTGCTGGTAATGATGACCCACTGGCCGTGGTCTTTGCGGGCCTGAAGCACGTAGCCAGTGACAGGGGACGATGGGGTCTCCGGAGCTAACCAGCCCAGAACCACGCCTTCAGAAGTTCGATTGACCGCCAACATAATGGGGGGATCCAGGGGCAGAAAGGTGGAGAGACTAGGTGCTTCTGTTGGGACAGCTGAAAAAAAAAAACATCCCTCTGAGGACAAAACTAAATAGACACTTAATAATCATTTTGAATTATGATACCAATGTACCAATAGTTTGGACAGAAACAATTTCACTGAAGGGTCCAGATCCAAGCTTGTTCTGAGGAAGAACACTGAACTGGTAATTGGTGCCAGCAAGTAGTCCAGTAACTAACAAGTAGTTTTTAGATGTAGGAACAGGTAAGGATGCCCATTCATGTTTTCCTCTGGATGCCTGCTTGACCCTTAAACATATTGAACCAAATACAATAAATAAGCAATTATTTTAACATAAAAGAAAACAAAAGATGTCCTAGATTGTTCATTGCATACCATACAGTAAACTTCTGGGTGAATCCTCCATCAAAACCTGGCACCCAGGAGACATTCGCTTGATTCATTTCTGCTTTCACTGTTACTGAAGATACACTATGAGGGCTGGTGCCTATGTACAGAATCATCGGCTGTAATTTGAGGATTAAAGAAAATACATTTTTACATCCTAGTTATCAGAATAGTACACTCACCAAGCACCATGACTACAGTGCCGGCGCTGACAGTGGCCACTGGATTAGAGGCCAGGCATTCCCAGCCCCCCTGATGGTCTTTACTGAGGGGCTGCAAGAGGAGGGAACCATTTGTCAGCACAGTGATGGGAGAGCGTGGAGTGGGGCCAATCTTTAAAAAAAAGGAAGGCACAAGTTAAAACAATGCTTTGTGTTTTGATACCTTTACTTTTTATTGTATTTGTTATACCTTGCTCCAAGTTATGTTTGGGGAAGGGTCTCCAAAAGCTTCACATGGGATGATCAACTCTCTGCCCACCTCCTGCAGGTATTCTGGACGCGGAGGCACTTTGAAGGTGGGAGGGTCCTGAAAAGGACAGTATTTTTGTTGCCTGCCAGTCTAAGATGTGTTTTTCATATACAGTGCTACTCATACCTTTAAAATGACCTTAGTAGGCTCAGATTGGCCCATAGTCCCATAACTGTTGTAGGGAGTACATGTGTACATGCCCACAGCATTGTCATTGGCCCGGGCAATAAAAACTGAGCCCTCAGAATTCACCATCCAACCTGGGAACTAGACAGATAAAGAAATGATCAAATCTAGATCCAATTTATTTATAAAGCAATAGTAAAAACAACAAAGTTGATCAAAGTGCTACACACAGGGATAAAACATATGTGTATTACAGTGAAAAATATATACATAAAATAATACATATTTATTTTTATTTATATATTTTTTATTTATATAAATATTTAATTTTTACCATGACAGAAGACAACTCACATTATCAAGATTCAAGTGGTTTCCATCTTTTGTCCAGTTCACATACAGCACTGGGGGATCTGCCTGAATAGGACAAACAATGACCCCCTCCATGCCTGCAGGCAAATATGTTTCTCTGGGCATCCGGGTTACGCGTGCAGGATCTTGGGTGGAGGCAAAAAAAAGTATTTCTGTTTAGTTTAATGATTCTCCACTTCATAAATGTGCAGAATAGGGTCTGCTGAACTCTTACGTTTAACTTTGAGATGTGCAGAGGCCGATGGTGGTGTTAATATCCCATTCGTTGGGATGCATGTATAGTTCCCAGCATCTTCTGGAATAAGATTTGGTATGAGAAGTGTCCCATCCACCAAAACCTTTACCCGTGACTTTAGTGACCTGCAGACAAAGCATAGAACAACCATGATATGAACCAAGATATTTTGAATATATTTATATATATATATTAACTTAACATAACTTACTCGATATGATAAACATTTTGTCCTTGTTTCATCCACTCATAGGTAAGGTTCGAGGGGTAGGCGTCAGCTTGACATTGCAGAACTGCATCCTGGGACATGTTCAGAGTGGTGTCCTCTGGGGAAATGAGGATTATAGGCGGGCCTTCATGCGAAAAAAACAAACACGGAATCATGCACACATACATTATTCTGTAAATGTTTGCAGTGACATGAGAAGGTCAGGTTTAATTGAAGGTGTTTTGGTAATGCCACTAATTGGTCTATAGGGGGCAGTGCAAACTAAAGCTTATTATCTGAACACAGAGAAATACTAGTAAGAAGATGGAGAAGTCTTAATGAAAACAGTGAATTAGAGTTTGCTTTGTACAAAACACAGCAATGCTTTACAGACATCTTTGCAAAGAGATCAAAGCACAGTGCCTGGGGATAGTTATTCATGCTCCCCCAAAATGCTGACAGTTTCACTCTCACCTTTGACCTGCAGCTGTGTGGAGTGGGTAAGATTTCCCTCAGAGTTTGACACGTGACATTTGTAGACTCCTGAAATATTTCTTGTAACAGAGGCCAGAGACAGCGACCCATTGAGCACCTAAAATAAGGCACAGGTAAAAGTGTTAAAGAATTTTACAGATGAATCTTATTACTTTTATGCATGGCATTTAAGACCTTTAAATGTTTGAACATTTTAAAATGGTGTATGTCACAATCTGACTTAATTTGTTTATCCCAGTTAAATAAAAGTTGAACATAAAAACTATTCTAGACATAATTAATTTTGCAAAATCATGTTTCAAATATTCAACAGCATATTGGTTTCAGCTTCTTGTTTATAGACATTTATCGACTCAAAACTTTTCATTTGTAATTTGCTATGGGGACAATGCTAATTTTTACTATGAAACCTACAAATATCACTATTCTTGAGTCCAATCATTTACTGTTGTCCTTACTTTAATTTTCTCATGTTTCTCAATGGGGTTCTCATCTTTATGCCAGACAACTGTTGGACGAGGGTTGCCATGGGCTCCACAGCTGAGAGTCAGTGAGTCTCCAAGTAGAACCTCTACAAAAGTTGGTGGTGTCTTGATGAATACAGGTGGAGCTGCAACAAAAAGCACTGATTGTTAGTGACACCGCAAACCAAACAAAGTAATCTGATTTAGAACACATCTGAATAATAGGCTGAATCAGATATTGCCCTATTATAGTTACATTTAATTGGCCAGTTAAGTTTAATCTGCGATAAATGAAAGATAACACATGGCTTAACTTGGGGCTTGGAGATAACACTGGCAGTGAACGGTACGAGAGGAAACCAGAATTAACAGAAAATTCTTGACCCCAGTCAGTCTTTCTTCACTGTATTGGTTTAACGGTTAAAGCTTAAAAGGTATTTTTCTAAACTTGTAAATACAAACTTGCATGTGCAAAGCATTAACTCCTAAATGGTGGATGGGAGTTGATTTTTAAATTACACATTTTAATATTACTTTATTGTCAGTTGAGTTCACCCCAGAAATGTAAATGGTGAATAATTGCAATAATCACTTAAAGGTGTATTCTGACGGAGGGTCCGTAAAGTACTTGTCTCCATGGACATGTTGTCTCACAGTATGGTATTTAACCTTTCTATCTTCATGGAGACCAGACTAGACCAGACCACATTACAGGTCAGATCTGTGGAGAGGCACCCCCCCTCACAGTCAGAATGCCAGTTTTTCCGGGCAGCTGTAATTTAATAAACGTAAGGTTGTTCAATGTCATATAGTGGAACAAGGCAGACCAAAGGGCATACCCATAGAAACAAGCAGGTGACAGACCCCCAACCGAAAAGTTACACAGTGCACCTTTAATTGTAACACCATAGTATGTCACATTATTACATATATTACATAATATCTCTAAAATGAATCTTGCCAAAGCTCTCTGTGTATGCATCAGGTCATATAATGGGGCTGTTCTATTCAGGAACAACACCCATGAAGATGTCCCAAACCCCACAGTGCTGCACCTGTGATGGAGAGAAAGGTCCATGTGCCATTTTGAAAGTCATCGGTTTTGCTATCCAACAGCAGGATTCGGCATTCAAACCAGCCCTCATCCTCCTGAGTCAGTCTCTCCACCAGCAGAGAGGCACCCCGGGTCAGAGATACACGGCCTAAATGAGAAAAAGCAAAAAGAAACACAGGGTCAAAACAAATGGACAGACGAGCAGCGTCAGCACATGCAGACTTAGGGCTTACATGCAGTGGACACAGGACCCCAGGCTAACAAAAGCTAACAAAAGCACTAGTTAGTAAAACATGTCTTGCTTTATAAAGAATTATATTTTATACAGACAACTCTACTGTATCAGTGAAACTGATAGTCAGAAACTTCCTTTTAGCTGTAGAATAAAAAGGTGTAACCAAAAGATTTCAACAGTTAGTATTGTTGATACACATAGTCCAGGCTTTGGAGGAATAAATGTTATTATCTGAGCAATGATGAAAGGTCTGCAAATGGTGAGTAATTAATATGAGTAAAAACTCTTGATGCATTATATGTATGGCTAATTACACCAAAGAAAACACTTTTAACCCAGTAATAACAGATTTGTGATCTTGCCCAAATGTGTTTGAAGAAGGATCTGAAGAGCAAGAAAGTACATGAATCGGTTTCAAAGACAAAACTTAAAATATTCAAGAGCTTGTTTTTGTTTGAATGGGCTGTGCTCAAATGATTGAATTAGGCCACTTGTTTTGAGGACTTTGGAGGACGTCATCAAAATATGAATGAAAAGAGCCAGTACCCACATATACCAACACAGAGAGCCCATAACCCCTATCTACCACAATGGCATGTTTCTGCTCCTCTCCGTGCTTCTTACAACTCCTTGTCAGACTTTGAAACTTGATCGGGTGGTTGCCTGGTGACTGCAGCCTGGTATTGGGAGTTATCCACCCCCCACCCCCCCATCTTTTTATTTTGTCTCTCAATGAACTCTTTTTACCCATTCAATCAATGGCCTTTTATAGATAGGAGGATGTATGGATGAGGAACCAGACACGTTGCTCATACCAGACCATGCCAAAGTAGTTTAAAAGTAAACAGATGTTGTTGGCTCTGACAGCAGGGCATGAATGAATGACACAAAACAACAACAAGAAAAGACAAAAACATGAAATCACCTCTGTATAGAACTGGACAATATAGCAAAAAATTTAATGACTATTTTTTTCTCCCTCACATTTGATTAAATTTGTATTTTTATTTTCAAAACAAAATTAAAATGGCTTAATGGCTTTGATTTCATGAACATAAACAAGTCAGACTTTTAATCAGTGCCATTTCCAATTTCCTTCGGGATAATAAAGTATTATCTATCTATTTAACACAAAAAATGCAAAATTTCTTCCTTCAAAGTCGAAACTCCAAACCACATGCTTTTATTTGCGGGGGATTGGCTGTCGATTAAAATTCAATAAAATGCCCAGCCCTTTTTCTGTGTACTATTTTGACACAGCAATCATTTACTTTTAAAAAGGCAAAAAATAAATTCAATTAAGGATTAACTATTACTTGAGCCATCAGGAAATAAAAAATCATGTCATTCATCTATAGCCTTAAGACTAGGCTTAACTCAGAGCCCAGACTGACAATAGCTAACAATTAACCCTGCATTCCTGACTGGGGTTGTTGCTGAGTTTAATAGGTGGGTTTAATGATTGACTGACCTCTCAAAAGCCCTCATAAAAAGAGAGACCCTGATTCTAGGTTAATATCTTTAAATAACCAGGTAGGGCTACGAGCAGGAAATGTGTGTGCTAGTGACAGCAGGTATAAGAGTATATTTAGGCCTTTCCCTTAGATTAATATGACATTCTCCCTGGGTGTCCATTTCCTTTTCAGACAAGTGTGGAAAAGTACAAATGTGAAAAATAGGTTCACCAGTACAGGTCTCATTCACAAGTTCCCAGAAAAGGCTACAATGGACTAAAAGTTATGAATTCACTGAAAAATTGCATGTGGTTAAAACTTTTTTTTAATTTTACATTTCAACTAAAAAATACCCACATTGTGAAAATTGAATTCATTGCTTTAACACCTTCACTTGCAAACCCAACAAAAAACAGCAATGCAGATTATGACAATCCTACTTATAGATCAGGCAGTCTGGCCATGTGGCTAAGAAGCACGTGGGGGTGTATACAATACATGTTGATTTTCAAAAAATGTGAGGTGAGCCCTGCCCCCTGGACCTCCGTTGGAGGAAGTCTGATTTCACTGTGGGCACTTAACCCTTTCCCGGAGCCTGCCTCTTGTCCATCATGACAAAGAGGCAGCAGCCCCCACTCCTCATTCCCAAGCGTTTCCATGGTGACTGTGTGGGGTTAGGTTTGAATTAGGTTGCTGTAGAAACATGGAAGGACCCAACATGGACATGGGCGGGTCGACCATGTGGGACAGAAGGTGGGTTTACTGTCATTTGAAAAATTGGACGAAAACATGTTTAGGTTTGAAAACACCTTTGTGCCACATTTGGTGATATAAAGAGGGCTATGGTTTTCTCTTCAGCGTTTGGACAGACAATGGCCTGATGCTGGGTGACTAATGTAGCTCATTTAAATCTGAATGTTACATCTCTCAGCATAAAAAAAAAATAAAAATCACAGAGCAGGTGCATTGTTATAGACAATCAATTTAAACAAAATGTGGCCAGCAGTGAGATTTCTTGGAATACATACACTAATGCTAAAAAATAGGAGAAGAAAGTGAAGAAAGTATTTAGAATGTATGCCTTCTGTGGGGAGGTTACCGAGAGTGTGCACATCGATAATCTACTGACAATAACCAATGAGACGCTGACCCTCCTGACCCCATGACCCCTAACTCCCCATCAGACACATTCATCACTCCTCCTAGTTCAACACAGCACAATATCCACCAGCCCTGTTTGAGAGCCAAACCTTGTTAGAGCTTTGGTGAAGAGAGAGTGGCTGAAACAATAGCCCTCTTCCTCCTCCTCACTGTTATTCCTCCAGCAGCTATCACATGACACAGCGTCTCTATCTTAAAGTGAGCCCTGTTCCAACAGGTCGAGCTGGAGTGCAGCCAAGGGTAGAAAATGGAAACGTTAATCCACCAGTTCTGCGTGAACTTCCAAGTTGCCCCATTCATATTAGACAGAGTCAGGTTCTCACCCAGTGGGTGGCTAGTTAGGAAAAACTGTGCTTCAGAGAGCAATGCCGCCAAATAAACTGGCCTTGTCTCACGGTCCCTGATCTTCCTTATGTGAGTGGATATTGATATAGCCCTCTGTGCAAGTGAAACCAATGCAACAAAATGAGAAGCTGCAGTGACTAAACTTAACTTGCATGGTTAGAGCATACTTTTATGGAATGCTTGCCTTTTCTGTGAGTTTTCTTAAAAACCTAACAGACTCAACATTTATTGTGTTCAACTGCTGTTCTCACAGTTACTCACAGTTGAATGGTGAAGTGGCTCTATGGTGATCCAACCACAAAAGCAGCCTTAACTCGAAGAGGAAGACAGATTATTCTGTTTTGAGAAGCATCAGCACTGCTGTTCTTTGTCCATCCGTATGTGCATTAGAAAGCTGGGCAGAGGTGCATTGTGGGATGTGTTTTGATTTGAATACAATCATAAGTCTGGGGGCCAGTCCCCTGCTCTGACAGCACTCCCCTCCCACTCCCCCAAATTTCTCTCTTCAATCCTCCTGTCTCCCTAATCAGTTAAACCCTCTTATGAATAGCTCTTTGTCGTGAGATAGATTACAGTTAACTCTGTCCCTCTCACTCTACCGGCTCTGTTAACCCCTCACACCAGTACATGGCTCACGTGCCAAGTTTCACTGTATTGGCAACTTAATTTGAAACTTGGTCAACCTTGTATTAAATGTGGTAAAGAGGAGGACTTTTAATGTGATTAATCTTTTTTTTAGCTTTTGTTAATAACAGCCTTTATATCTCAACTGTGGTGAAATAGATCCCACGTTTGTGAATTGGCTGCTATGTGCCTAAGGCAAGAAGTTACAGAGCCTTTGTAATAACCTCTGTTTAACTCGATAACTCTGAAGTCCCCAGGCCCAGATCAGATATTGTGCCTCACTGTTGTGGCATGCTGATTCTGTGGCAGAAAAACTGGTTGGTCAGGATCAAGCATACCATATCATTTGTATAGGTTTGCAAACTGTTCATTGATGTTAGAGCAAGGGGCCGGATCAGAAAACTCATGTCATATAAACCCCAAAAATAACAATAAGTTCAAATATTTGTGCAGAGAAATGCAAATCTATTACAGAAATCTTTTTTAATTGATGAACTCTTTCTTTTACTAAATATTATAATATTATGAACAACCTGAAACTTTAAGAAAAATGTCATTTCAACACAATGTTTTAACATGAACTTGTATGTAAATAGGAATAAGTGCATTTTTGTTGTAAAATCTTGCACTCGGCGTCCACTTTTCTCATTTGTGACATTTTTCTGATGAGGGTGTCACGGTCAACAGTCAAAATGATCGTCCTTTAAGAGCGTTTGGAAAGAGACAAGTTTTCATTTGTGCTGCTCTGGTGGGAGGGGCCACGCACAGAGACGCTGGAGATGCTGCTGTGATAAACACCACAGAAAATTAACAAGATTTTAACAGAAAATATCATTAAAATATTTTAGTAGAAAATCAGCTGAGGGCCAGGTTAAAGGTCTTGGAGGGCCGGATCTGGCCCCCGGGCCGTATGTTTAACACCTGTGTGTTAGAGGATTAAGTAAAAAGAGGTCTGTCATAATATTCACAATAAGGTTCACTTTGTAAAGGGATTATTGTGCTTCAGAGCGTCTGTGGCAAGAAGTAGATTTCAATATGATGGTTTAATCGTAATATTTTCTGCAGGGATATTTCAAAATGTGTTAAAGTGACAACTCTATGTCGCGCTCAGTAGAAAGAGAAAAATATATAATCGTGAATTTTCATTTATATTTTAATATTAGGATTCTGTTCCACATTTTAAACAGGAGCATTCACATTTGAGAGACTTAAATATGAATTGCTGAGCTAATACAAGAATTACATGCATTTTGATGCACGTGTTTTATACATAAAAATACATTGTTCTAGATAGTTTATTTGTTTGCAGGTAAACTTTTTTCTTTGCTATTTGCTAATGCAACAATTAATGTTGCACTTTGTCCCACTGAACTATGTGTGTCTAATGTAAGTATTTGATTTATGTATGTGTGCAGTGAATCTTGCCTTCTTGAATTTTAAGGGGTCACACTCTGGCTGCCTGCTGGGAGCCTGCTGGGATCTGGGGGTTTGCCCATTGTTGTTGTGGTCTAAGGTCAGAATCCCTTGCTCAGTGTCTATGTTAATTTACTTTAGGTGGAGTGATTACATTTGATCTAAGTGTACTAACAAAAAAGCAGTGACAATTCACAACAATAACATAAGAATTGCCCAATGGAGAAAAACTATGGAGAAGGAGGAGGATATTATCATCTATCCCTATCCATCACTGCTAATACTCAAAACAACTACTGCTGCTGCTACTATAACTACTACTAATACCACATAGTCACGAATCCCCCTTAAGCAGCCAGGAGAAGCTCTCTCTCAGACACACTCTGACCGTCTGCTGTCTAGGGGTCAACACAAGGGCACTGCTCTGTGTATGACAGTGCAATCTCAAATGCACCCAATATGAATTCAGCGTAGTTTGTTTACTGGTCAACTAAAACAGGCATCAAGATACTGCATTCGTGTGCTCAACTTGAATATTAAAAATAGCCAGCTACATTGGAGGCAAAATAAAAATTGATATACCAATAGAAAATTAACAGTAGTAACAGTAGTAGTAGCCCAAGCATCCACAAACTCACATATTTACAGCTAACTAAGCCTATAATTAACACTCCTATCACCTCTCTTCCTTGTATTTCTTATCTTAGACAAGCCAAGGCAAAGATCAGGAAATGGTATTCTCTCTCTGTTAGTCTTGTGGTTACATCTGAAATCCCCCCTTTAATTTGAGGGTAGAATACATTACATACATAGCACTGACACGCTTTGCACACTGCCATCTGCCTCTAGCGGGAGGGAGCAATGAGGATCTAAGGCAGACAGGGTAAACCCTCACCAGACGCAGGCACCACAAGAAGTGAATATGGCACAACACAAACACATACCAGAGCCCCATGCATACAATGTTGTTTACACCATTTTGCCTGATGACTGCACCAAAACAATACCATGATAACTGTCTGTGTGAGATTTAGCTTGTAGCTCTTTGTTTGTCACTCAATCAGTGTACAGTTAATAATGCAACTCAAAATTTTCAATAATTCATCAGTTCATTTTATGAATTATTCATTGTTGTAAAAGAAAATTCATAGACAAATTAAAAGTGTTAAATCTACAAAACAAATTAAATAATAATTAAACTAAAGACACTGCCTAAAATCCCAATACTGTATGGAGCTGAGCAAAGATCCCTGCACATTTGTGTGACCTAGATCAAACTATATGGGATTTTGAGTGCCCCAGCTTTTGCCGACTTAGGGGATGTTGTGATACCCCTCTTTGTTTTTTGTCCTATACAAGACAATGAGCGGATTATATAGTTGTAGTAAGAAATCTAGGATCTTTTCCTATGTTCATCAATTCTCCTAGCAAAACAAGCTTACTGGGTCACCCCCTCAGCATACTAATAAAACACTATCATCAGACGACCAAGCCCCCACCCAAACTCCTAATCCCTCCAACTGCAGCGTTACTGGTGCCCCCCTTTTTCTGCAAAGCCTTCCCAACCCCCTTTAACTGCATCCATCCATTCTGTTTTTTCCTCTGCTCCTTAAACTCGTGCTACTGTCTGGAAGTGCCCAGAACACCCACAGAAATAATTACAGGGCTCTTCTGAGTTGGATTAACGTTAGGGGTACTGATTCATCTTCAGCTTCCTGTTCCTTTGACAAATAGGTGTAGCACTGTTTAATGTATACATTTAAGAGAAAGAGATTGCATGTTTAGTTATTTCATTTTGTCCAGAACAAAACCAAACGGGGCTAATCTGTGCTGATGAGTCTTACCCTTGTAGTTTGGATGAACCCGCGGGGCATATACTCCAAATTTAATGAGGATGGGAACATTGTAACCAAGCCGCACCCATTCCACCACATGCAGAGGGAAGAGGTTTGGGCTGCTTTCTCCTTTGGATATGGGATCGAGGTTACAGTCCAACTCTGCAAATCCCCCTTCCCGGGCTTGAACCAATGTGGCCACGCCTTGAGAAACACCTGTAAAGGCAGCGATATATTACAAATGTCAGTCACACTGTACATAAAACCATACAACATGTGGACTTAATACCATTTAATTACAAAGTTCCAGTAAATGAGAGGTTGACTGAGAAAGTCATGAAAACCACAGTATTTAACTTTTGTAGCATTTCTTCTCAGTATATCAGAGAAAGGCAGAGGAAAAGGCAGTTTAACAGTAGTTTGAATCAGTGTTAGTGTCTTCCCTTGAGGGTTCTGTTAAAAGCAGGGGACCAGAGGGCATGTAAAATGATGATGTGCCATTTGGCGATAAGATCGTGTAACCTCAAAGCCTGCAAACACACAGCAATCCCATTAGTGACACTTGGAGTGGAGTCTTCCAGTGACTCCTGCTCAGTGCCCTGTGCTCACGTCAATGCAGTGGGTGCCAGGGTTGTGTCGCCTCTCATCTGGCTGCTGATTACTTTAATCTCCAAAGGGAGGGGGTCACTGTGCCTCTCTGATGCAGGACAGCAGGGCGCTCGCATCCACATCCCACCACCCCCTGGGGTCCACACACATGGTCTGTGGACCAGCTCAATCAGTGTCCTACCCCACCCCAGAAGTGTGCCTGGGGTTGGGGGTAGCACAAATCCCAGATTGATCTAAATACAGGACCAGATCATATTTAAGTTGGATTTTGTCCCCATTCTCTCGTTTTTGGCCCTCTCCTCTTTACTTTCCTCCATAGAGCAATAAGAGTGGCCACTGTCCATGTAATAACAGTTAAAAACACTTCTGCAGGAAACAGAACATAGCAGTAGTGGTAATAATAAATATACACATTACAAAAGGAAAATTAACTGTGATGCTATAAATGGCCTAGTAGTTATTTTGATATAGTATAGGTAAAATGTAAAACATATTGGACAATATGATAATATCATTTTTAAAAATCTGAATCAAATTAACAGTAGTAGAAAATAAATTGGGCAAAAATTTCAAGTTGTAATTTGCTTTTTAGTATTCTCTCTGATGAGTATAATATTATTTTTCAAGTTTACGCAACATAAAAAAATAAAAATAAAAAAAAATTGAGAAGGTATACTTACTAAGCAGACAGATGGCTCCAGCAGTGATGACAGCTTGAAGCCAGTGTCTCTCCTGTCCCATGGCCGTCCTTCACACTCCTTCACATATCTCCCAACCTGAATGGCAACAGCAGCACACACTTTAGTATAAGCAGCAACACTTAAACATCCCATCCCTGCCTTATATCTCAGATATACTGTATGTAATCTCTTTTAATGCAAGTTAACATTTTTACTGGACATTTTCAGTTAATAAATACATTCATTTTGAAAAATTACAACTCATAATCCCCTGTCAAAATATATGTCAGCGATGAAGTTAGATTAAGGCAAACAAAACAGTGCTGCGGACAGAGTTGGCCATCAGATTGAGCACCGACATGAGGATTTCACCAGTAACCAAAGTGCAACCAAATCACTAACAAAGTAATCTAACCTAAGTAACTTTTGGACACCTGGCCATTAGTATAATTCAAATTATATCTTAAAATTATATGTAAGAGAGAACAGACCTTGTAATCAGAGAAAGTCTAGAGATGGACACAGCATTTTCTGGGTTAGTACCTAATGACAAGGTTCAACAGCCTAAATATACTATGTGTGAATAAAACAATATACAACTTCATCACTGACATTATTAATAAATAACTTTCTAATCAAGAATATATTAAACCCTGGTCAATTACCTGACCTAATACTAACTTACTGTGAAAGTGAATTTAACTAATAAAAGAAAGAGACTTTTAGACAGCAGGGAGCGGTGGGAGATTAGCTGAGGATAAGCACAGGTGTGCTGTATGCATAGTCATCTGAACTAGCTGATCCAGAACAGCTACAGCTGCCTCTTTTTTACTTTTAACCATATTGCAATAACATTTAAACATGAAAAAACTGTAAATGTGTTTTGTTCATTTTCAAAGCTAAAACCTTCCATTTTACAGTTCTATATTGCCCAGTGATAACCCAGTTCTACACAAATTGCCTTCACCAACAATAAGCAACCTTAAGGCACTAGCTGCTATTTTGGCCCTAATGCTTAGCTCTTAAAAGAGGAAGAAGATGGGCAGTGGCCACAGTGCCAGTGGTTTGTGAGAAACTGTGACTCACTTTGTAAAAAGTCACCGCCTGAAACCATAAGGGTGTGCTGCAGTTGGTCAGGTTCAAGTTCAGCAGTGAGGCAGCATTAGGCGTGGTACAGGTCCAAGTAAGCAGATAACAGCCAGGTAGCATCCTCAAGCAGGCTATTAAACGTTTATTACTACAGCTTGTACCGGATGTTACAGTCGCCATGGCCAAACAAGAATAGCATGTTGGTGGAATACCAGTAGCAGTAGAGGTAACTCTCTAATCGCAAGGGTATCTGTGGGATCGCTGGACATAATTAGCAGCTTTTCATCACATAGTCACAAATCCACAAAGAGTCATCAGTCAGGACCAGTAAATCAAAAATGTGCTTGAAGAGTAGGAAGCCAAAGGCTTCACTACATGATCTTTCAGATCTCACGTGCAGCCTCTGAAGGAGGATTGTGTGTTTTACTGGATTTCAGTGACACAAATTGCAGTGGACCTTGCCATGACTTAGCCTTCTGGACAGTGCATTTGTAAATAAAGGGCTAATCCTGGCCCGCTGCAGAGTGGGAGTGTTAATAGTGTGACAGAATTAGAGACCAAATTAGAGAAACAATTCAAGGTCAGAGTCAGTTTGCTTTTTTGCTTTTTTTACTTGGACTGAGGCTACGGTCAGCAACAACAGCTGGTGAGCCTGACCTGACAAAAAAAATAAATTATATATGAATATATGGATTTTATGAATGCACAGTGTCCTATAGCCTTCTTCATATGTCAAAATTCTGAAGTGTTGTATGACTTTGATATATGTATCAATACCAGGGTGACCATGTGACCAGTGCTTGTATGTCTAACACTGTACTCAAGCACAGTTATGAGTGATGCTGCTGACAGATACAGGCCTGATAAGCAGTAGAATTACTCCTGTGGCTAATCCTGGTTAATCCCAACAAAGTATACCCTCAAGACAAACCTACGAAGGAACTCCTCGTGTCACTCACACCACTAATGTGAAAGACTTAGCAAAACAACTTACACCTGCACCTTACTGCAGCCAGTGAGCCCACTCTGGGGGAGGCTCATCAATAGCATTAAACCACCAACAACTTGACTGGTTAGACCAGCCCACAGCACAGTAATCAATTCATAGATTTTGCCTGGCACAGCAACCTAATTTAGAACTTTTTTATTGACATGGTTTAACGTTAGCAAAAGGAAATTAGATTGGCACACACTGGGCACGAGAGCTACACAAGGTCTCGTGAGTATTGACCACAGTGATGGGCACTGTGGTCAATACAACTAGTTAGATTACTATGAGATTTAAGCACTTGTGACTCACTGCACAAATGCTTTGTACATATGTTTCAATTTGAATATTCTTTATGTGCAAATGTGCAATTCAACATAATGCAGACAACCCTGAAAAACACCAAACATGTTCTAAAACTGTGCATATAGTCCTTGAGCATCCAAAAATATTTGTTTTACAGATACCCCTCAGGATAACTTTGCCCCATAAGGAACAGTTACCCACATACAGGTTTTAATTGTAAAACCATAACAATGAAACACATCACATCAGTGATTAATGACCTCTATTTAGCATTAAAATTACAAAAGCATACTCGCACTTTAGCTTTCAGTCAATTCTAAATTAACTTCTTTACTAACTGTTTTGTTTGACGTTAATGTGTGGACATAGCATATTTCCAAATTGGAGCTTCCCCAGCTCATGAATAATTTGTTTCTTGAAGACTTAAATTGATCACTGAGTGCTGACACCACTGTACACAGAGGACAAAGCAAGACCATGAAACCATAATGAAACAGGACTACAGGACCTACAACAGAAGTGAGAAATAAAAGCAACAGTGTAACAAATGAGATACAACACATGTGCAAAGCATGAATTCGTAGATATGTGATCCTTGATGAGCTCACTCTGACTAATCAATATGCACTAATACAACAACAAGGGCAAGCAAAGCAAAGCCAACAATATTTGGCATAATACTAATGATTAATGAAAGCTGCCATTAGTTATCATTTCAATCTGATGTGAATCGATCCTGTAGTATTTCAATTATTTACACAAACACGTTCTTGTCTTCTGCATTACTAGTGTCGGTGACGTTACTCCATGTCACCATCCAGTAAGAAAACAGGTGCATCTATTGTCTGACTCAGTCAAACGAGAGAAGCGTGGCCTTTCTAAACAGTACTCCCACAAATAATAGAACCATGTCACTATATTTTTCTGGTAATGTAACAGTAACCTAATGGAGTCAATTTATACGCTCAGAATGGTCTAATAGCCTACAATAACACGCCCACTTACAAATCACCAGCCAGCGCTGCATGAGATTCACAAAACGTAAACAAAAAACAAAAATGTCACATTTGAAGAGTTATCACATAAAGGGTTGTACTACAGATCAACTAAGAAAACAAAATCATCAGCATAATGCGAAATTACAGAAAGTTTGGCCATTAAATGAGTCTACCAATGATTACAATGTTATAGCCTCGAAATATTAGAATAGTTTGTCACGACCTACCTCTCTAAAAACAGTTAGAACGCTGCTAGTTGGTTGCTTTACTCACCTTGCTCGAGGCACTTTTCCACAGGTCGTAAAAAAGTATCCCTTCAGTCCATTGAACTTCCTTCTGTCTTGTAATTATCAATTTAGCCTTTAGGAGATTCAAATCGCCAAGATCGCAGGGAGAAAAATGCAGGTGTTCACATCCTTGGCTAAAGGCGTGGATCAATAAAAAAAAAAGTTTAAATCGAAAAGTAATCTGGTAATCCACTGGTTTGGACTTTTAAAAAGCTAGTGAGGTCGTAGTGCCTCCGTAAACAAAACCGCATTTAAAGTCCATTTAAACTTTCTTGGCTTCTTTTCTTGCGCAGTTCATTATCCACTTGAGCGGGAACTAGATCAAATTAAATACAAAAGTTCATCTATATCAAAGATTAAGAGGATGCTTTGAAAATGTAACTACACCGGCCAATTCCTGCATAAATAAAGCGTAGAGCACGTTGGGTTAGTCCTGCTTATGGTGCCTCTCCTCCCATTAGGTTTGCACCTCCTCCTCGTCCTAAAGAGGCAGCCTTCCTCCGAACCACAGATCAATGGTCACGGAGCCGCGAAAATGAGCGCTTCTGTTTCCGGTCAACACCTTCAAAATATAGCCCTGCATTACAATTATGAACGCAAATTTTCTGATGGCACTTTTGGAATTACGATATACATACTTACATTATAGCATAAATCATATGTTAATTGGAATCATTACGTATCAACTCATCTCTATATATATAATAACGCCAAAATCGCACGTGTGCTTTTAGTTTGTAGAGTGGCCATCTACTTCCGTTATTTTTTGTTTTGCTTTAAGCTGCTGGGTTAGCTGTGCAGAAGCTTGAGACAAAGCGCCTTTTACGTGGGAAAAAAATCTTGTGGTTGACTGGCGGTTATTGCATTAGCGAGATTGCTGTATTTAAAAAAAAAGTGCTCATAGTGGGCTTATTTATTGTTAATAATAAACACAAACATTCTAAGAAAACATTGAAAAATTCAGGACTGTGTAAAGAGTTTCAACATCACATCTAAAATATGTGCCTCATGGTTTGACTGAAATGGCTTATGCGCACAAATATCTTAATCATACTTGCATTTATTGTTGCGGTTTTGCTATATTGAATATGTTGGGGAGGAAATACAATACCTTCAAAGACGTTACGTGGGGGCAATGGCAGTGATCTATGCACACAGCACAGTAGGCTACAACAACAGGTCTACCGCAGTTTGACCTACCGAGATTTAAAGTAACCGATCATGTCCCTTCTTGCCACAGGGGGGCGGTTGACCTGGTCCCAGACTTGATTATTTCACACAAATTTTCATCAAAATTGGCAAAAAAAAAAAAAAAAAAAGTAGTGTCCTTAATCAGTATAATTCTATGTGAATCTAATCTGTAATATTTGGCCAATTCTCAGGGGTCCACATGTGAGCCAGAAATAGAGAAATATAACACCTCCATAATAATAGAGAGAAATTAGGTGAGAGCCCTAGTTTTTCTGTTGCAGGCAGGGTAGGACTTTACAAATGCAGCGCTTACCTCAGCTACACACGCCCTGTAATACTAGGGGCTCTTGTGTGTGCCAGGTGAACCATATGGAGATCAAAGGATTGGAATTAATCACAAGGAATCTTCTGAGAAAGATTTAACCCTAAAAAGTTGTCTAATAAACCGTTTAAAACAATTTACACTTGAAACAACCTTCACAATTTACATGTTACTTTATGATGCATTAAATTTTAATGAAATAACATTCTTCACAATAAAGCAAATAGTAAAAAACTAAAATAAAAACTGCAATTTAACATCTAACAGTAGTTAATATACAAAAATGCATACAGGCAACTAGTTTCTAAGCCTTGTTAAGGAGATAATTTCTGGCTGCAATTGTAAAGCAACACAGTTTATATAATGATAAAATATGATTGAAACTAGTCATCAAAGTCTGGTATATCATCATAGGAGTATCCTGGATAACCTTTTGATGCATAGTAAGCTATCCGTAGATGGTAAATCCCTGGCAGAAAGACAAGGATCCCAATGATGAGAACAGGCACAGTTCTGTCTGAATGCTGCAGATAGAGTAGAGGGTTAAGTGTAAAGCAAATGTACAATTCATGTTAACTTTGTATGAAACTCACAGTGACTCCAAAGTACCCAGCGAGAAGAAGGGAACCAATGACGATTAACAAAGACCCTATTAAGAAGAGTACAGCAGCAAGGGCTATGGCTTTGTACGGCACTTTGGGTGGGCTCTTTTTGAACTGCAAAGATGGAAAAGTATTTAGTTATACACAAAATGTGACTACTTGCCAACAGGATTTAAATAAACATGAATTTCTCTTGATATTGTTTCTACTTATTTATAATGTATTATTATCATTTATATTTTTGCTCTTTGTTATAATATATTGTAATGTGTGAGCTACTGTGTCCAAATTATTTTCCTTGTGGATCAGTAAAGTTTGTCTAAGTCTTAACAATAAAGGGGTTTAGCATGTTCACAAATAGGCATTCCTCAATCTTGAATTGTTCGACCTAATGTGTCTTTTACTCAATTCTGTCACAAATAATATTTCTTTCATATTTTTGTTTGATACATAAACATTGATAAACATATAATAACATAAAGATGAAAAAGAAAGATGCTTGAAATGATGGTTCAGATGAATTATTATTATTAATAAACATATAGTACCCTTCATGTTATCCTAACACACTTATTGCATCCTTCTAGCTTCTCTCTGGCAATTTGCACCTAAAACCCCTCACAATCATGGGCAAATTAAATGTGCACTGTGTACCTTTTCTGGTAGAGGGCCTGCCAGTTACTTGTTTCCATGGAGATGTTATTGCTTTACCTCCAATATTTCAAAGTATGGCATTTAACTTTTCAGTTTCAAGCAGGAGATGCTACCAGGCCCATTTACAGGAGAGATCTGCAAAGAGGCGACCCTCACTTACAGTCAGAACACCTGTTTTTAAAGGTATTTTTGAGCAATAAAGACATCCATAATTGAATAAATGCATCTTATATGAGTTTAATACCATATTGTGGATCATTACAAAGCAACAGACCCCAGACCTGAAAATTTACGCAGTGCAACTTTAAACATGTTTTGTTTTAGGGCAAGAGCCCCCAAAACAAACATGCAAGACCTATAGTGAAAGAATAATCTCAATATTTTCACTATGAACCTATTTTGCACAATAAAACATATAATCATAAGAGCTGTGTACAATCAACTGTTTTGCAGGGAATTTGTTTGCCCCCAGTTTGAATCATGCATATTCATGACTTGCAATGCCATTTTCTCTTACCTGTAAATCAATGTAGCCATCATCGTCAGAGGCCAGGCGTGAATATCTGACCTTGTTGTTTGAAAAGCTATCAGATACGACGTTGCGAGCAGGCATGTTTACAGGTTAATGTAAGTTTGTTTTAAATATTCAATGGTTAATATGAACGCTATAGTCTAATAATTATGCAGTTAGTAAAGCGATTAACAGTTCCATTGGTTGAATAAATGATGCTCTGCCAAAATAAAAACACGAACAAATAGAAAAGAAGGATGAGGTGGACAGAAATGCTCCTTGTTGACAAACTGCACCTCCCTGTTCCGCACTTGCGCACAAACGCTTGTATCGGTGTGTTATGTTCACAAAGTCAAAAGAGGGCGCTGTTGAGCAGTTAAAATATTTAGCACAACAGGCAGTGGACAGTGAGCAGTCTGGGCTTGTAGACCCTCTGGGTTGTCAGAATTATTATTATTATTTATTTATTTTGTGAGGATATTCATTTCTTGGGGTGCTCACAAAGGCAAAAATTAATAACACACAGGTATTATCACTGGTCTCAAGACTTATTTCATATAAAATGTTTTAAACCTGCACAGCAACTTTGTCCACTGATCGAAGGTTGCTGGTTCGAATCCCGCTCTTGACATAAACATGGTTGGTAGAGTGATCAGATCCATTAACCCACAGATTGGTGGCATGATTCCAGCTCCCACAGTTGAATGTTATTGTTGTGTTCTTGAGCAAGACACTTAACCTGCCTCACCCCTGGTGCTTGTGTACACTAGTGTATTTATGTGTGTATGAATGGGCGAGAAGTTCTTTGATATGAAGCACTTAAAGTGCCTTGAAGGTGTAATAGTGCTATATAAGAATGTGACCATGCATTTACCATTTACTATGATGGACACTTTTCACAAAACAAAAGCACTTCATCTTAATGTGTTTATGTAAGGTGAGCCAGAAGCACACTGTTGTTGTCATCCGCCTGGCAAACAAACATCTGCTTGAATATTCTTGTCTGTCTGACCTTGGTTATGTACAAATAGTTTAGAGCCAGAGAAGGCTGTAATGCCACAGAGAAAAATCATTGTTTTGTTCTGTGTTATGATGTTGTGTCATGAATCATAGTGCTGGAAGTGCTCCTTCATTTCATGAAAAGTTTTAATTTAATGTACATTTGGAGCTGACTAACAATGCATTTTTAGGGTCAAAACAATTAAATTTAATGTTGCCTGAAATGCATGTTTGATGGAAATAAGATGTTTGAGTAAGCAATGAATCCTTTCTAACTTCATGTCTTTCTTACAGTTGAAATTATTTTCTTGGGTTTTTGCAGTCTGTGAGCCACAGCCTTGGCCTTTGCCTTGTTATTAGTGCCAGTGTTTTACCATTTCTTCAAATAATCAATGTATGACTCTGTGTCAGTAACTCCCATTAGCCAACACATTCCTGCATCACCACTGAATGCATTTTGCCTTTTACAGACATCCTTCCTCATACCTGCCGGCTTCCCTCGCTTGTAAATGCTACCCGTATTCAAGGTCACTGCAAAACCTGCTTATCATTTCTCATCCTGATACATTAGTCCCTCAAGCTGCCTTACATTTTCTCTGGCATTTTAAAAGAAATATTGACTAATTTTCATTTTATATTTCTGTTTACTAAGTAGATTTTGCTATTTTGACATCTGACAATTCCATGACATGGGAGGTGCAATGTATTAACAGTTTTATTGCAAATCCAGAGAGAGGTCTTTAAAGTAGATCTAAGCCCAGATGAATGACTGTGCAAATCACTGGAGAAGGCTGATTTTTGTTGTGACTGTCATTCCAAAATGATTTTTCAGTCTGAATCCATGTCCTGTATAAACTATGGCTATATTTTCCATATTGATTTACAAAGTGCATGTTGTCATTGTAAGTGTATTGATTAGCTTTAACATTGCTCATGTCACGTATGAATTATTAAACAGCCAATTGATACAAGCATCACCTCAACAGTTTACCTGCTTGGATAGTTATATACTACATTCCATAATGACCACAGTATCAGACAGACCACTGTGAACCGCCTTTTTATGTGTGTATATGATTTGCAGCTTTATATCTAACTGGAGTCCCCAGCCCCGCCAAACCCTGATGTATGACTCCAAACAGCAGCATTCAGGCCATAATTAGAGCACTGTTCTGACTAGAGTTCTTTCTGCTGGGATAATTGAATCTTCATTACTGAGACTAGAAATATCACCACAATTTGAGCTGAATAAAAGGCCAAACCATTATACCTCTTCAGCATCATGCACTCTCCCCCCTTGAAGCAGCCACCAACTCTGTGAAATAATACCATACGAAATGTGGGTGGTGCACAGGAGCTGCTAGGCAAACTTTAAAACAATACTGCACACACTGAGCTAAGGGTGGTATTTTTAGACCCAGCTGGCCCCCATGTATCGGGAAGGTGATTGATTGGCCGTGATTTGGAGCAATATGATAACAATACCTAGCGTGGGCGTGAGAGGCTTAGGAGCATCTCTTCATAACAAGGGGCACAGTTACAAATAAAACGATCTGGCCTAACAAACCTACCAGCAGCATTAAAGTGAACTCAGTACTTTAGGGGGAAATGTACTGTCAATTAAAAACATGTTTGTAGAGGTAGGCGCCTTAACCCCTCATCTTTTGTATATAATTATCATATGTATTGGCATTCCACATGACAAATATACCTGTTATTAATACCAACAACAAACATCCTGATTTATATTTTTAAAAGTAATGCTGCATCACACAGAGCCATGCTTTTGAACAACACCTTTCGCCAACAATAGTCTGACATGATTCATTTGAAATGGTAATACCAACAGGGCGTACATTGTGTAGCTAGTATAAAAACACTTTATTTTTTTTTTTGTAACCTTTTTATTGCAGCTGCGAGAGTATAATGATGCGTTTTCCCTCCTCTTTAATCCTCTTTCTAGATGTCGAGTTCAGGTTGGATGATGAGTGAGTGTGTGGGTGTCAGACTGCCCTGGACACTCTATGAGGACAGTCATCAGCATACAAACCATGACCATCGCATTTATTTCACAATGTCAGTTCCATTTTTATATTATAAAATGACCACTGTGGCTCAGAGACCAAGTACACAATATATTATTTATTATATTACACATACTGTTAATTTTCAAGTGTTTCTGATGGAAAGGGGAGACATTATTGAGACTATTATTATAAACATCCATTCTGAAGGTGATCGGGACACAGTAGTAATCAGGTTCAAAACAGTGGAATTGCAACTCTAGCTTTTGGCAAATTTGTTGGTGCTATATCTAAATTATTCAGTAGTTTGTAGCCAATTTCTGTTTGAACAGGCTGTGTAAAATTGTTTGTGTTTGTGTTGTGTTGTTTGGGTATTAAAATGTATTGTTTTTGCAGTCTTTCAAAGTGTGCAGCCAGCAGCAAATTGTTTTCCATATCATTCAATGGCACTATTATCAACAAACAAGACACAAACACACAAGACAACCTTTTTACTGTATCAATTTAAAAACAAATAAAGGCATTAATAATACAACTGAAGGAAGTGTCACAACATGCATTGAGGTATGGTAAGTTTCAAATGACATTATTAAGCTTTCTGATTCACCATTTATCCAGGGTTTTAACTGGCACAAACAAAAATAGTTAAATGATGTGTGACCCTTTGTGACTGGACTTAATATTTCCATCAAATGAATACTGACTGATTAAAATGACAGATGCAGGGTTTGCACTGTGAGCCAGCTGAGACAGAAACAGTCTGCACATCTGGACTGACTAAAGCAGGCTTTGAGCTCAGTGGGAGAAAGGACACAGACGGACAGTGTACCTTACTTTTCATCTGTGCATGGGCGTGTTTGGAAGAGATCCATGTTTCTTTCCTGCCTTGATTTAAAAACAAACACAAAAACTAAACACGTGTGAAACTGAGATGAAATGTATACTGATTAAACAAAAAAACATCAGTGTGTCAAATGCTTATACACCTTTCAAAGTTTTGTCTTTAGCCTACAGGTGTATGACATTCGGAAATAAATTTGCAGTGGGACATTGATTTAGATGGATTTTTGACTTTCTAAATAAACTCCAATGCACTGACTTTATCCCAATGTTTTCCAAATATTTGCCTTGTTTTGACATTTCTTCGTTCGATTACAGTTATCTTTAGGCCTGCTGTATATTATAAAAGCTGTTACTTTAAAGAAGCCTTTTCATACACTTTTGCTCAGATTATTTACATTAATTGTATCACCGCGCATGATATTTGAAGTTACAAAGAGACCAGTTAATGTGTCACCGACATTGATTAATTGTGTCCGGAGATTGTCTGGCTTAGCTGATTTATAGATTGACGCGCAAGAACGCATTACGCACAATTCCAGTGCCTGTTTACAGTCTACCACTGTGACAAATATATCAGCAGTTGTATGAAGAAACAACAGTCAAAGAAGCTAATACTGATTTTTAAAGGGAACACCCTGACTAAATGACAGGTGTTTTAGTGGGACAGGGACTTCTTCAGGATGACGCATGAAGAGGAATGATACTGAGGTGAGGTGCTCCGAGTTGAAGTGAAGAGTGATGTGAGGCTCGTGGATGGGCGGATGGTCCGAGGGGACAGCGGTTTGAGGAGAAAGCAGTGAGTCATTTGCTGTGAACATCACACTTGGTGCACAACCTGACTGGGACAGCGTCAGACGGCAGACGCACGTTCTTGAGGCACGAGGAATTACTTTGGTTTTACCAGCAATTTATACTACAAACTATATTTTTCAGTTGGAGGAGTGGATTAGCTACGGTGAAGGCATGTGAAAATCTAATCTAAAGTTGGGTAAGTTCTGCTCTCTGTCGTGTCGCTTAATTTATCTCTGTTTTGGAAAGACAATGGTAAACCAAAAAAGGCGCGTTGAACTTGCATTATGTTTGACATGTTTTTCTAGCAGTTCAAATTTGTTCTGTTTCGCCGGAGTTATCTAAATCATCATCTAAAATATAACTGACGATAATTAGTGGGCTAGTTTGTTAGTTTGCTCACCACAGCCCCCAGAGTCTCCACTGCTCATAACCCTGGGAATACTCGTCATCAGTGTGGCGCTTTAGAATTCACAGCTGCCAAGTAAAGTAGCCGCTTGGTGCACGTTTCATGATGTTGTCACTATATCGACTTCCACTATGTTCTTTTCAAAGACTGTGCGTATCATACACCATAGTATCCCTCAGCATTGAACAGTGAGCTGCCAGCCACACCAACTATGTTTGAGAGATGAATTTGAGAGGCGAAATTGAGGCACGGTTGAGCACAAAGCACTCCGTACTCCATTGATTTTCAGCCATTGTGCCAGAGATATATGGTGCCTTGAGGTTTTGCCAGATGTGCCTTAGGAAAAAAAAAATAACATGTAGTTGTTTTACACATGTATTTAATTGAATATTTCGTATTTTTTGTGCCCCATGCAGAAAGCAAAACAGTTATCTTTGCCAAACTGAAAGCCCCAGACAAAGGGGCAAGGGAAATACAAGGGAAATATTGTTTTTATTTATTTTTTTCTAAATGGTTTATGTGGTATTATCACATGTCATGCTTTCTGGTCAGACTAATGCACATAGTTTCATTTAGGTGATGTGGTGATGGATTCTTGTGGTAAGACACCCTGTAAATAAAATTAAAACACAATGTTCTTGGAAGCAGTTAATCTCTCTTATCTGTGGTGACCTGAAAGCCCTAGTTTGGTAATGTTGTGGCACTTACTCAAGGAAAAGTTTACAAAGTACCAGTGTATAGCTCCAAAGAAATGTGCTCACAAATATGATGATGAGCCTGGCCAATGCTATGAATAAAGACATAACAATTATGTGGACCATCCCCTCCTCTGTCCTTTATAAGTAGGTGCTGATTTATGACTCTGGCTGATAATGCCAGCACAGGGGTGCATAGACAGGAGCTTGGCTGTCAGCGAAATAAAAACCTGTGGAGCATGCAAAACAGCTGTACATCCACTATAGTGTGAGGTGGACACTGAAGCGTGGATGAAAAGGTCAGCCACTGGTTAATCGTGAGGAGCACAGGGGGAGGGGGCTGCAGACTTGAGGGGACTACATAATGCCCCAATCTATCTGTTCACATACAAGTCTTAGGCATGTCTGGCCACAGTTTGGTTATTTAAGCCAAAAGGCGGCACAGTGGCTGGCACTCTGGTCTGACTGCGGGCCAGCCTGGGCCTTCCTGTGCAAAGTTTGCTCCCCCTTCCCCTCCATGTCTGAGAGGGTTTCCTTCTGGCTGCTTGAGTTTTCCTCTTCTATCCAGTAGGATCCTGACCAAGTCTTGCTCAACATCTGGAGGTGGGTCCTCAGGTGCTGAACCCACTGTTCCTGACAGATTACCCATTTGATGGGTCAAATGCTGTAGACAAATTTGACAAGATTCAGGCTTGAATACAGTTTTAAAAAGTACATAAGTATATAGTAAATTTCAATCAACATTCTTTTCAAGGAATAGCTATGCCTCAGTACAGACATGATTAAATTCAAATGGGGCGATGTGTAGGGCTTTTCTTTTGGACATTTTCCAAGTCAAAGGACACAAGAACATACACAATGAAATTAATCATTTGCAACAGAGGGCTTTTCAGGCTAAGAAACAATTGCCTACAGCTCATACAGTAACCAGACTCTTTGTACAAAGATAACAGGAATCACAGTTTGGAAGTAAAACATATGTTTATCACTGAAGTCACCTATACGAGTGGGTATTGATATAACTGATGCAGAGAAGGACAAGAATGTCAAGAACAGGGTGCCATCAGTCAGCCTCTGGGCTTTAAACAACCAGAAAAGAGATAATCAGGTGCGAGGAATATCTATACCTTTTTGAACAGATTAGATACAACAGAAGCAGCCATGTTGTTTTGACACAAATTTTACAATATTTATGAGCTAATGTCCCCAATCACACATGTCTGAACTGTGGGAGATACAGGGCTCAGACTACATGCCTTTGTACAGGAAAAGACTGTAATCTAGGATAGCCAGGCATATGTCAAACTTACTCAAACAACTTTTTCAGCTCCGATACCAATATCAGTACTATCTGCCGATATTCGATATGAACTGATACAACTTTAGCAACTGAAAAAGTCCTTTTTTCCCCAAAAAACCTGGTTAACTTGGTACAAAATGGATCCAATTGTGGCATATAATTCTTATTTATCTTTCAAGTAGCTATTGTCCAAATAATTTCCCATGTGGATCAATAAAGTTTGTCTAAGTCTTCTGAACAGCTTTGAATGAATAAAGATTTAAACATTATGAGACACCGTAAACCTACATAAACCAGTAAACAATCCTTCTATTATATCAGTTAAAGACTCAAGTAGGATATCAGCTGAACCGATATGGGACTGATACTTGATCCTGCAAATTTTCCTGGATTGGCACTAATACCAGTATCATATTGGTGCATGCCTTGTAACCTGTCCTAAAATGAAAAATATGTTGTGTCATTCAGTGTCATGCTCTATACCAGACCCTCACTAAATTCAAAGCAAACTTATAAGTCACTTTTAAACAATTACCACAGGACTTAATATCCAGTTGGCCAGCGCTAATAGTGCTTTCTGCTTCCCCTCTCCTCGGCGCTCAGTCGATAAACCCACGGTGAGGCGGTGGTCACATTGATCTTCACAACTGCAGTTAGTCACCCACAATCTTTAATAATAACACAATGCTGTTCAAAGTAAGCCTACACAACAAAAAGAAAAAACAAGAATTGACGTTTTATGTTTTAGCCTTGGTGCAATCATTCTGAGCTCTTCTTTATGTGTTATTTTTGCAGATACTTCCTCCTCCACAAATTGGCCTTACTTTCATCTGGAGTATACCACGGACTGCTGCTCTCTCCTGCCATCAAGTGATTTTTCTCCTTCTCCTTCTTCTTCTTTTTTTTTTTTTTTTTCATTGAAAAATGGACTGGCACACTATATTTTGTCAATCCAAAGCTGTGCAAAGCTGCTACTGGATGTGTGGCCTCATCTGCCTTTGGTTTGATAATGTGTCATTGCTCCATCTGCATCTCTAGCAAACACCAGGTAACATTTGAAAGATGGATTACCTGGTTGTGTCACTAAATCTTTTTTTTGTCAAATATGAAAGCCCTGCATCCAAGAGTTGTTGTTTTTTTTTCTTTATGCATCGCCCGCACAATGGTTCATTTAGCTGCAGCAGCAACATCATTCAAATTATGTTTTGACAAGAGCGACTTAATGTGATCATTACTTTAATGGCGGGTTTGTCAATGTCCCATTGTTCCTGTATTTCTCCTTGTAGTCTTGAAAACAAATAGGCCTGTTTAACTTAGTGGAGAGTGTGCTTTATGGGAACACAAAGTCCCCTCTGCTGGACAATATGACCCCAGCGCCTCTCACTTCTTCTCACTCCTTCAGCAGCAGCAATAACAGCCATCTTCTTGTCCCTGAGTTTAATGTGGTAAAGGCTGTGGTTTTGGGCTTCGTACTTGGAGGTCTGATCTTGTTTGCAGTTGTGGGAAACATCTTGGTGATCCTGTCAGTGGTGTGCCATAAAAACCTCAGAACAGTTACGCATTACTTTATAGCCAACCTGGCTGTGGCGGACCTGCTCATCAGCTCCATCGTGCTACCTTTCTCTGCTATTTTGGAGATTTTGGACCGCTGGGTATTTGGCCGAGTCTTTTGCAATATTTGGGCAGCTGTGGATGTGCTCTGCTGCACTGCCTCCATCATGAGTCTATGTGTCATCTCAGTGGATCGTTACATTGGAGTGAGTTACCCTTTGAGATACCCAGCAATGATGACAAAGCGCCGGGCACTGCTGGCTGTGTTGCTCCTTTGGGTGCTGTCTGTCATAATATCCATCGGACCTTTATTTGGATGGAAAGAGCCTGCCCCAGAGGATGAAACTATCTGCAAGATCACAGAAGAGCCGGGGTATGCCATCTTCTCAGCTGTGGGCTCCTTCTACCTCCCATTGGCAATCATTCTGGCCATGTACTGTCGAGTGTATGTGGTCGCCCATAGGGAGAGTCAGGGTCTAAGAGAGGGTCAAAAGACAGAGAAGTCTCACTCAGAGCATGTNTTTTCAATATAGTATTCAGTACATTTTTTCAATATCTCCCCACCTCCAAATACAACCACTAATGATTTATTTTACTAAACATTGCTTGCACTGTCCTTGCTTCTCTGATTCTGTTACTTTTTTCATTTTTTCCTTCATAGTTCTTGTCTTGAGAACACGTTTTAAATGGGAAGAATAATGACTGTGATTTACGCATGCAATAGTTCAAAGTATATGTACACAATTAATGTAAAAGACATTATGAATTGACTGAAGGAGACACAGTAACTTCGATAAAAATAACAATAAAGCATGGAATCTGTTAATTATAATTATACTCTGTTTTTAGGAAACGTTGATGAAAAACGTAAACATTTTGAAAAGTTTGGAAAAGCCACTTCTCCACCTACATCTTCAACCAGCAGTTTCCCAAACCGAGCACCAGGCCCAGGGCAGATGGATTCAGGAGGAGAGATGGACTTACAACACAAAGAGCTTAATAATGTTCCTACTACAGAGGAAGATGGAGATACAGAGTCTAAAAATTTTGATGAAGAGGTCTTTGAAGATGCACCAGAAAAGCAAGGTTAGAGAATTAAGGACAACCACAGTACATACAGTTTTATTATTGAAGAAGTAAAGGCATTGTTTGTAATTTTGCCAACAGAACCGCAGTCTCCAATCAGTGCGCCTCAGGTTCACCAGGATATAAAGTCTACACCATTGGAGCAGGAAAGCCATGTGCAGACAGATCCACAGAGTGTTGAGCATCACACAGAAAGCGCTACTGACACAGGTCCAAATGAGTCCACCGAGACCCCAGAAGAAACAGGTTAATGTCCTGAGTACTTTTTATATCCAGTTTTAATAAGTGTAGCTTCAACATACATGTAACTTCTAAAATGTTACAGCAAGAAAATCAGAGTGAGTGAATTGTAATTGACCTAATCACACCTTCTTTGTTTAAATGTATTTGAGTGCAAGTTTGATCAAATTAATTTAAGTAAAATTATTTTTGAAAATCCTCCAAAAGATGTGTCAAAAAAAAAAGAAAGGCAAACTGAATTAAATGAAGTAACAGACTCTGACACCACAGTCAACAGTGAACCACCAGAAGATGCATATTTTATTACATTTTATACCAGTACTGTTTGTGGTACAAGAATATGAAAGACATCCTGAATGAGCTCAAGCAGACAATAGTAAAAGTCTCAAAAAGATTCAGTGCATGAGGGAGGTTACTAACAGGTTACTAGGCTACTTTATACCATAGTCAGTAATTTTTTGAGACTTGCAACTTCCACTATCAATGCAGAAAACTGTAATAACATGAGCTGGAGAATTAATAATCCTGATGTTAACAGGTAAAGGAAATGACACTGGTGGAGCCACATCTCCACCTACATCTCCGACCAGCAGTGTGTCAACGCCAGCACCAGACTCTTCAAACAATGACACATCATCAGTATCTTCAGGTATGACACTAGATGTTTCTGTCTGTTTTTAAGACATTTTAAATAGTTTAAGTTATAGAAAATATTATAATATATTCTGATTTTGCTTATTTCTAAATCATGAATTGCAATGTACATTTTCCAATATTCTATCAGTTTTTTTTCTACCTCTAAATACAACCACTAATTGATCTGCTTACACAACATTTGTATGTACTGAATGCACAGTTGATCTAATTTATTTAAATACAATTATTTTTCCACCTACAAATAAAATGCAAACTGGATTAAATAAAGGAAAAAACCCAGACCATAAAGAAAACACTAGGTTAGAGAATTAAGGGTATGCTCAACATACAGTCTCACCAATGACGAAGTAAAAGGCATACAAGGCCTCAAGTTAAACAACATTCACAGCCCACACCAGGGCCGCAGGGGAGCAGTGTGCAGACAGATCCAGAGAAACAGACAGACGAGCATCACAAAGACCTTGGTTCTATAATACAAGCTCTATTCAGGCAGGTCCAGGTGATTCCGCCAAGGCTCCAGAAGAAATGGGTTAGTGTCCTGAAAGTTTGTTTTTATCCCATAATTTCAGTGTAATCGCAACAAACATGTAACTTCTGAAATATTACAGCCCAGATGAGTGAACTGTAATAGATCACACCTTCTTCCACTTTGTTTTAATGTATTTGAGGGCATGTTTGATCAAATTAATTTAAGTAAAATTTGTTTAAACAATTCGCCAAAAGATGAGGTGCCACCTACAAATGAAAGGCAAACGGAATGAAATGAAGAAACAAACCCTGACCGTGCAGAAAACAATGAACCACTGAAAGACCCCATAGATGTGCACATCAATCAGTTTTTAGGCTGTCAAAAGTAAATAAACAGTATAAATTACAAAGTGCCTTGAAGATGGAAAAATGCTGTATGTAAAAATGTGTCAATTTACAATATTAACTATTTAAAATATTTTAATTAAAGGAATCACAAATTAAAATGGTCTTTTCTCAAAATTCTATTTGCAGTGTTGCCTCACCTCCCTCATCAGAGCAGCACACCTCCTGTTGGTCAAGATGAACCAGGGAGCACAAAACAGACCAATCCTGATGCACACTCAGACACAGACCAGGTGACAATGGGTCCTCTAATCGACGATCCTTCAAACTGTGAAAAACAGTTCAATGTTTCACAGATATCAACATTATCTCCAGGTAAGAGAGCAATGTGTGTGGGTCATATCGACAAAAATTTGTATCTCAGCTAGTTTGAGTTTAGCACAAAATATGACTGGACCATAATACCAGAATATATAACTTTATAGTCTTGTTTGGAAGATTACACTAGGTGGGTCTGTCAGTTTTAAATGCTTTGATATATTTTTTAATAGTTATAATTATGGACAATATACTCAATTATATTGTAATTTTGCATATCTCCAAAACCATCAGTTGTGAGCAAACATTTTTCTGTGTACTATTCAGTGTATTTTTTCAATATCTCCCACCTCTAAATACAACCACTTTTTTTTTTTACTGAATATTTATTTGTTTGCTTTGTCCTTCACTGATTCTGTTAGCTTTTTCATTTTCCCTTCATGTTTTAGCATCAAATAAAAATATTTCTATTTTTTCTTGACCTACAAAAGATAAACATTTACAAATAGAAGTCCTAATTTTGTAGAACATGTTTTTTTAAAGGAGAAGAATATTGTGTTATGTGATTTACCAAACATTTTATTATCTGTTTTACCTGGTATATATTTTTTCCAAAGAAATAGAGCTAAAGCTGACAAAAAGGATGAATGCTATTAATTAGTGGCAAGTGATAATTACTGAAAGAATACAATACAATCCTATCAGCCTCTCCAAAACAACTTTTAAATTGTTACAGTAAAAAAAAAATCTAATATCAACATTTTCCCAGTAATACAAAGTATATATAAAAGTAATGCAGAAAAACATTATAAATGAGCACAAGGAAACCACAGTAATGCAAAAATTTTAAAAGATGCAATGCAGTTAGTTTCTATCTTCTGCTTTTAAAAAACGCAAATACACAGACACACCCGATTTTTAATGTGCAAGATAATTTAACTCAAACTGAGACACTGACACTGAGAACAATGACTATGACTGACCTATAGTACTGCTACTGAACACACGTCATGTAAACCACTGTAATAACTTTTTACAACAGTCTGCATCTATGGTTGTAAAATCAATCTAGATTATACTTAATGATATTATGACATATTTATTACTTTTCTGTAGTGTCCATGCCATGTATGTCGCTATTCTTGAATTTATCATAATGTCAAATATCTGTGTTCAGTTTCAGCATCACAGCCACAGTCATCACAGCCTGAGTCAGCTGAATCTGAGGACAAAAAGAAGAGCGATGAAGAATCACACACAACCGGTCTGGAAAAGAAAGCACAGGGAGACCCAGAACAAGATGATAAAGGAAACAGAAGAAACATCACAAGCTCAAAACGAACCATCAGGTGTGGGTCGTCATTCTTTATATAATCATTGTATTTTAAAAACAGTTTCACACAAAGCTAACTCTGATTGTTTTTGACCTCTACTACTGATTAAAGTGACATTATTTTTGCTGTGCCTGTTACTAATGAAGGTGTTTTGTTTATTTTATTAGCAGAAACCAGTGCAGCTCCAAAGCCAGGCAAGGACCAAACTCCAGAGTCCAGTGGTGTAGAGAGCAAAGATCATGACAAATCCAACACAGAGACACAGAAACAAGACTCAGCCTGCAACCCATCTGAAGACGAACAAAAAATAGTCACCGCTGAGTTTGAAAAAGCAGGTATTAAAACAAAACCCTAATGCACCGTCAAAGTAAACATGTAATGATTGCGCTGTCCATAATGGAGACGGTTATTAAGTATAGCTGTTATAAACTTGTGGTGGTTAGTGTAAATCCTGGATGAACAATTAAACTAAGCAACAACCTTATGAAACCTGTAACCTTTTGACTGCAATAAGCCATTTAAAAAGCATTTCCTGACACACTTCATATTAATATGTCATTCAGTTTTATTGGAGATGTTGATTATTTGATCAAGTTTCACTAGTTTTGTAGATACCCAAAATGTTTGATTCCTCTATTGTTATCAGGGTCAAATGAGCAGGTGAACAAGTCCCCAACACACCAGCCTCACCTCCGAGTCAAACCACCGATAATGACAAAGAAACCAAGAACACTGGTGAGGATGTAGAGGATGACAAAAAGGAGAAGAAAGATGAACCCGACAAAGAATCTGGTTCATCTGGATCAGAGCAGAGCAATGGAGTAAAGGATATCCCAGGATGAGCACCTCTCAGAATCACACAGGTGACTTTTTATGACAGGTAAAAGTGATTATTTATTGTGCTGGCCCATTATTCTACACCAAACCCAAGAAAGTATTGAAAACATGTTTATAAAATCTATGATTTGGTATCAAGTGTTGTGGTTGTTATTGGTATTGTTTATTATGTTGATGTACAAGAGCTGGGAGTTTTAAATGTATTTCATATGTTTCATATCTTCCTTGTCATAATATTAACATGGCAAAAGTAGGTGTGGGAATAAAACTCTCATGAGATAAGACTGGCAGCTTACACTTGTTTTCTGTGAGACTCTACTCTGTACTAGTTTAACTGGCAAAACATCTGTAGTAAGAAGTTATGTTTAGAAGTAGATTTATGGCGTGGTAAAGAGGTTAATATAAGATTCATGACAAGAGACAGAAGAGACAGTGAGTTCATTTGCAAAATCTAATATCCCCATAGTATTTTTCTTTTTTTTATCTGCTGAAGGTACTGTCAATTAATATAATTTATTTTTAGTGGATTATGGAGAAATAATATGTTGTTAACTGTAAAATACAATTGACACTTTCTTTTTTTTGTGATGTAACAATTACAATATATTTATTTGTCCTCAAAGTGGACAGACTGGCTTTTAAAAGTGAAACTGAATTTAGACTTGGTAATAGGTGTGTTCAGGAAGAGCGTACCGGCCTGACAGGTTTCTGCATTTTATTCTCATTTGACCTCGTAGGGCTATAGACTGTATATGGGCTATGTCCAGGGCATAGGACTAAAGATTAAAATGAATGGATTTTTCACATACAACAGAGTATAAGGGTCAGATAAAAAAAAACCGTAAACAATTAGAAAATTTTGGAAAAGCCACTTCTCCACCTACATCTTCAATTAGCAGTTTCCCAAACTGAGCATCGGGCCCAGGGAAGATGGATTCAGGAAGAAAGATGGACTTACAACATAAAGAGCTTAATAATGTTCCTACAACAGAGGAAGATGGAGATACAGACTCTAAACATACTGATGAAGGGGTCTTTGAAGATCCAGATCTTACAGATATTTTAAGTACAACACTCCACAGCTTTTGAACTGCCAGGTTTGACTATTTACTTTGGGTTTTTGTCACTGTGTGTTATGTATGCCAGGGCTTTAAACTGTTAAAAGTAAACTATGGCTATTTAAATCAATTTAAAGGGAATTATCGCTTACATTTTTGCAAAGTTTTGAGTTAGATCTCCTGAGTTTGTCAAAATGTCAAATGTCTGTGTTCAGCTTCAGTGTCACAGCCACAGTTTTCACAACCTGAGTCAGCTGAGTCTGAGGACAAAAAGAAGAGCGATGGTGAAGAATCAAACACAGCCGGTCTGGAAAAGAAACCCAGAACATAATAGTGGGACCTACTAACATATTCAACAATAAAGTAATGAAAGCATGTTTGTAAAATCTGTGAATTGGTGTAAAATGTTGTGGTAATATTATTATTGTTCATTATGTTGATGTAGAGGTGGGAGCTTGTACATTTTTCTTCCTCCTATTCCCTTTGAACAAAAATGTCTAAATACTACAATCGTCAGGAAACATGGAGGACTCATGGTGGACTTTTAGTACTGTGTAATGAATGTGCATGTGTATGAAGAGATGTGTAGGAAGCAGATGTTGTACAGTATAGCCTGATTCATCAGCCGGTTTCACTTTGTGGAAACCGTCTGACCTTGCAGCGTTAGAATTCGTTCGCTCGATGGTAAACAGGTACTTTTTAAAATTTAACCAGTCGCTGCTATTTGGTCGTGTCGTATGTAATGCGCCACTAAGGGGGCTAACTGGTATATTAAGCTTTTCCAAAATCCCGTAGGAAGAACGGTAATAACGTCTTTTCCCTTGATAAAATTCACCAAACATTCTCTTTTTTCTCCCTCGGGAATCGTTGCCAACACAGTATGTATGGCTCTCCGCTGACTGGCTGGTGCCCGGACTTGCACTTCTGGGGTTTTTGCGAACCGTCTAGTGTATTCCGATTCCTGACCTAGTCGCTGGAGAGAAATGAAAATGAGCGGAGGTACTAGGTGGCACCAGTCTGGCTACATGTTGTACACCTGTAACTGGGGAATGTTGTAATTGTACTCCTGAAAATAGAAGAACCACTGGAGTGATTTTGTGCTGCTTCTCCCATGCAGAAGTTTAATGCAAAACCAAAACAAACATTATCAACAGTATCCCACATGTCTCTTAAACTTGTGTGGACACAAGATGGCGGAGTAAGAGTTCACAACATAAAACAAAAAAGTCGGGTCTTATTTATATTAAAACAAACTAATAAAACGTTTTCCTAGTCTCATTTCACATGTTCTTCTTACAGATAACTGCTTCAACAATGTGCATACAACAAGGGTAAAACATTTGGCAAACCCACCTGTAAACAGAAGAACCACTGGAGTGACTTGGTGCAGTTTCTCTCATGCTGAATTTTAATTACAATGAGGAGTGTTGAGTGAAGACATTACCAATCACCAAAACAAAGGATCCCAGGCTCAGCAATCGATCACAGATATGATGAATATTACTGAAAAATAAACTGTTCTAAACATTTTAGTTAACTGTAAACTTTAACTGTTTTTTTAAAACTTATGTAAATTAATAAAAAAAAAATTATAATTGCAAACCTTTTTATTGTTTTTAACCTCTGAAATCACACTATGAACCACATCACTGCAACTATAGGCCCACAGAACATAGTATTACGGTCATATAGTACCATTCTAACTTATCACACAGAACATATAAATCTCCTGTGTTCACGTTTACAATGTACATGTAAATAAGGTATACTTGTACTGCTGTTTGTTGCACTATTTGTGAACATTTTAAACAAAAGCGTTAACATGAACAAAAAAAAAAAAAAAAGTAATTGAATTCTACACGAATATCAAAACTCACACCGAAATCAGCTGTTAAAATGGACTTATTTTATTTATTGCTTGAATTTAATTGTTTGTTTTAGATCTAAGTGCATGTCGTAATGAAATAGTTGATGGCAACGCAGTATTCTAGTGTTTGAAATAAATCTTTGCCTCACTTGTTCCGAATTGTATTGCTCTATTGCCAAATCAAAAATGTTGCAAAGTTCACAGACACACCTCCTAAAACAGGCACAGGTGGTCGAGCTGCTGCAGGTGTCCCGAGTCCTGTCTCTTGTCTGAAATTCCCGCACGGATCACGTCAACCTTTGAAACGAGTGAAAGCGAAAGTTGAACAATTCTATGTTATAAGTTTGCTGCGTCGTCTCTCCAGTCCGTGCGCCATGGCCAGACTGTATTTCTACCTGTGGTTCGTCCTGAAACTAACTTTGGGTGAGTTTCTGATCTTCTCTATCGGAAAATAATCCTTGCAAAAGTAGGCGTGAGAGTAACACTCCTACGAGATAACGCTGGGGGCAAATTGACTGCACTTGTTTTCTGGGACAGTCGTACTCGGGAGGAGTCCTTAAACTTGTCCCGATCCCTAGGCTCTTTAATGGTAAATGAATTATTACGCACAATTAGAATTTCTTTATTCAATAGCCTCTAGCCTATAAGGCGGCGTTTAAGTGGCAAAACATCTAAAATAAGTAGCCTTATAATTTAAGTATTTAGAAGAAAATTATAGTTGTAATTTAAGTATAAGGCGTCGTAAAGAGTTTAACATAAGATTCCTACATTGCCAAAGAGACGAAAGTGACAATGAGTATTATTTGAGTAAAAGTTTAATTACACTTTTGTGATGTAACAAGTATAAGTTATTCATTTGACCTCGCGGCTACAGATACTTAGCCAGTCTGGCGCCACCTAGTTTCTCCTCTCAATATCGTTTCTCTCCAGGGATACTAAAAGTGAAACTGAATTTCGTCGAGTTGTTTGGACTGTCATCTATCATCTTTGCATACACATGAAATATCCCTATCCCAATACAGACATATTACTTACACAAAGTGAACTAACTTAATCTTTATGTAATGTTATAATGTTGTTGTACAGTTACAGGTCAGTCTGCAAATTACGTCCTTAAGGGCAGAGAGGCCGTCTTGACTCCAGCTGTAAACAAACCCCCAGATGAGATTCTGTGGAAGCACAATGGGGACAAAGTGATCCAGTTTGAAGGTGCAGATGACCGTGTGTTTGAGCCATATCAGGGCAGGGTATCTCTGTCCAGGGACACAGCCAAACTGACCATTGCAGACATCACATATGAAGACAGTGGAGTGTATGAGCTGGACATCATCAGCAGCGAGAGACTGCGCCGCTCACAATATATGCTCAAGGTCCTAGGTGAGTAAAAGGCAATGGGAAAAACACAGACCGAGTTTTAATCCTGTTATGTTTTTAGAATACTTCCTGTTACTTAAATGTAGTTGTTATGGAGTTAATTAATTGTTGCTGTTGTAGAGTGGACATGAATACACATTATATTATTAGTTATTATATGAATTATCACCAACTCACATTTTATGATTATTGTTCATTTACTGATATTATTTTGTGCAGATGAAGTTTCCAAGCCTGTGATCAGATGTGAGATGAACAGTACAAAACAGAACAGTGCTATTACTTCTGCAACACTGTCCTGCTCTTCACCGTCCAACACTCCAGAAGCTCTGACGTTTATCTGGAGCCTGGAAGGTCAAAGTGAGCTGGGCCAAACTTTACCTATTGCCCTGGGCAACGGGCACGATGACATCACGTACAGCTGCACCGCAAATAACCCCCTGCAGAAAGAGACCAGCACCTTCAAGGCCAAAGACTGTTACACAGGTTGGTTCTCTTATAGAAATATTCTAATGTCATTGCCTGATATTGGTAGTTTTCAGATTCTATGTGACAATGTTATTCTCCCAGTTGGGGGCAAGGGCCAATTTTTGCTATTGATTACATTGTACTTTGCCATGAAATATCCAAAAGGTAAATGCAGAAATGTTGAACTTGTTGTTTTTTCCCAAGAACTCAATTACAACATAATTTAGCATTTTTACAATTTTAATTTTAGCTACCCCCATCTGTAATAATTAATATTGTTTCATAGAACGTGGTGATGTCATGTGAAACCTGTCAGTACTATGGGTACACTCACAGGGCTTCACAATAAATGACAAAAATATCAAAGTCATGTGGCAATATCGATATCGCTAGAAACTAAATATATTGCAATAACACTTTAGGTTTAGAGAGTTACAATTATTTTTTAAATTAAAATGTAAAATGTTTTTCCTTTTAATTTATCTTTTTAAATTGTTCTTAATTATCCTTGTTTGTCCATTGAATGTGTAAAAGTGAATATATTACTTTTTTCATATGGTGCAGTTGTTGTTCTTATTTACTACATAATAGTCAATTATTTTCATCATCTTATTTAGCACGGTTTAACATAAGAATTTGTATTTTGACATGTGTTATTTTACTTTATTTAGCAGAAGAAACTCAACAGCATCTGTCTATAGTTTTACCCATTGTCATTGTTTCCATAATTCTGTTGGCTGTTGGCGTTTTCTTCATCATATGTTGGTATCGAAGAAAGAGAGGTACTTTTTTATTAACCAATTACCATATAATTTTTAATCAAATCATAGCAACGTTATTATTGTTTTGTCTTCATTTCCTTTAGCATGTTCAAAAATGGAAACGAATGACGACTGTGAAAAACAGCTGAAAGTAGCAGGTTGGTTCTGATGACTCAAAATGTTCTGATTTACCAAACATTTCATTATACATAATTGTGTTTTTCAAATTCTTCTCTAGAGCAAAAGCAAGATCAATCTGACCAATTTAAATCTGAGTCGGAGCCATTAATAACAAGTAATATCCACCTGCATGAAACAAAGTCATCATCACCAAGACTTCCTCAGCAATGTGATTATAAAAATGTGATAAAGGAGAGTCAAGGTAAAGAGGCAAAGTTGTTGCATTAAATTGTGAAGTAATTTAATGTTTTTATTACATTTTATACCAGTACTGTATGCGGTACATGAATGTGAAAAACATCCTGAATGAGCTCAAGCCGGTAATAGTAAAATTTTGATAAAAGATTCAATGCATGCATGCTTTTTATACTATGTCCCCAGGAAACGTTAAGGATATATGTAAAAAATTTGAAAATACAGGGACATCTCCAGGTCTGTAGTTTTGCCACCGCCAACATCCACTATCAACTCTGAATACTGTAATAACATGAAGTGAATTATTGATAGATAATCCTGATGTTAACAGGTAAAGGAAATGACACTGGTGGAAAAGCCACATCTTCACCTCCGAGCAGCAGTTTCCCAAAGCCAGCACCAGGCCCAGGGCAGATGGATTCAGGAGGAGAGATGGACTTACAACACAAAGAGCTTAATAATGTTCCTACCACAGAGGAAGATGGAGATACAGACTCTAAACATTCTAATGAAGAGTTCTTTGAAGATGCATCAGAAAACCCAGGTTAGAGAATTAAGGACAAACACAAATACAGTTTTACTCATGAAGAAGTAAAAGGCATTGTTTGTAAATTTTCCAGAAGAGCTGCAGAGAGCTGTGCAGATGGATGCAGGCAAACAGCAAAATGAACATCACAAAGACCATGATGAACACATTCAGAACAATTTTTCAAAAGAAGATTGGCAACCTACAAATGAAGAGCAAATTGAATTAAATACAGTAACAAACTCAGACCATGTACAGTGAACAATAAACCACCGAAACACCTCACAGATGCGCCATTTTCTCCAGGTATGAGAGTAATGTGCTAATAATTATAATACAAATGGGGGTGAATCATATTGACAAAAATGAATATCTCTAAATGTTTTCACATTATCCATTTTATTCAGACAGTATTTTAACAATGCATCAGGATTGTGCTAATGAGCCTGTCTTGGCTGAAGTCTAGTGTAAAACGTGACTAACCAATAAATCTAACCACAAGTGCAGAAATATCCCTTCATACCCTATTTTTAATACTTTTTAAATTGATTTATTTATAGACAATTTACTCAATATATTCAAATCTGGCATATCTCCAGAACATCAATTGCGATATTCTACATTTTTCAATATAGTATTCAGTACATTTTTTCAATATCTCCCACCTCCAAATACAACCACTGATGATTCACTTTACTAAACATTGCTTGCACTGTCCTTGCTTCTCTGATTCTGTTACTTTTTTCATTTTTTCCTTCATAGTTCTTGTCTTGTAGAACACGTTTTAAATGGGAAGAATAATGACTGTGATTTACGCATGCAATAGTTCAAAGTATATGTACACAATTAATGTAAAAGACATTATGAATTGGCTGAAGAGAGACACAGTAACTTCGATAAAAATAACAATAAAGCATGGAATCTGTTAATTATAATTATACTCTGTTTTTAGGAAACATTGATGAAAAACGTAAACATTTTGAAAAGTTTGGAAAAGCCACTTCTCCACCTACATCTTCAATCAGCAGTTTCCCAAACCGAGCACCAGGCCCAGGGCAGATGGATTCAGGAAGAAAGATGGACTTACAACATAAAGAGCTTAATAATGTTCCTACAACAGAGGAAGATGGAGATACAGACTCTAAACATTCTAATGAAGAGTTCTTTGAAGATACATCAGAAAACCCAGGTTAGAGAATTAAGGACAACCACAGTACATACAGTTTTATTAATGAAGAAGTAAAGACATTGTTTGTAATTTTGCCAACAGAACCGCAGTCTCCAAGCAGTGACGCTCAAGTTCACCAGGATATAAAGTCTACACCATCGGAGCAGGAAAGTCATGTGCAGACAGATCCACAGAGTGTTGAGCGTCACACAGAAAGCTCTACTGACACAGGTCCAAATGAGCCCACAGAGTCTCCAGAAGAAACAGGTTAATGTCCTGAGTTCTTTTTATATCCAGCTTTAATCAGTCTAGCTGCAACATACATGTAACTTCTGAAACGTTACAGCAAGAAAATCAGAGTGAGTGAACTGTAATTGACCTAATCACACCTTTGTTTAAATGTATTTGAGTGCATCTTTGCTCAAATTAAAGTAAAATTATTTTTGAAAATCCTCCAATAGATGTGGCACCTACAAATGAAAGGGAAACTGAATTAAATTTAAAAAGGGGAATGTCTTATGTGATTTGTCATATATTTTATTATTAGAACTGAAGTTGACAAAATAAAAGATGAATGCTATCCATTAATAGCAAGTGATAACTACTGACAGAATACAATACAATACTATCAACTTGGCCAAAACAACAACAAATGTTTATTTATTTATTTATTTGAGACAGGGACAGCACACAATTTTTTGCATTAACCTTAACAGGAGAGATGCATTGTACATCAGGTTGTAACATCAGTGTAGTCCCTGAAAAGGTTCATTGATTGATTGTATTTAACTGATCTTGACTATCAACTGTTTATGGAGACCTATGTAGCATGATTTGGGTTGATGGGGGGAAACCAGAGCGCCCGGAGGAAACCCATCCAGACACGGGGAGAAACATGCAAACTCCACACAGAAAGGCCCGGGCGAACCGGGATAGAACACAGAACCTTCTTGCTGTGAGGCATGAGTGCTATAGCCACTCAGCCACCGTGCCCCACCGTGCCACCGTGTTTAAACTTGTAACAATAAATAATTTAGGAAGTACATACAAAGTGTACGTGTAAAATGAATGCAAAAGCATTATCTCAAAGAGACCACTGTCATTTTAATGTATGTACTTAGTTTTTATATTCCTTTTTTAGGAAATGTCAAAGAGCTACGAAACAGATTTGAAAGTTTTTGAAATACAGAGACACACCCAGGTCAGTAACTTTTCAATCAATGTGAAATACGGCATTAACATGTTCTGAAGAAATTAAAGATAATCTAACTCAAAGACAGACACCAAGACCAATGATCCACAGAATGACCTCTCCAACAGAGTATGACAGACCTATAGTATTCCCACTGAACACGTCAATGTAAACCTTTATAATAACATTTTACAATAGGCTAAACATGCATCTGCTATGATGTTTCTGTCTTTGATGGTTGTTAAAAACTCAATATTATGACACTGATTACTTAAAGATTACTGATTACTTTATTCATGTTCTGTAGTGTCCATATCATGTATGCCACAACTCCTGAAATTATCAAAATGTCAAATATCTGTGTTCAGTTTCAGTGTCACAGTCTTCACTTCAGTCAGCTGAATCTAAGGACAAAAAGAAGCACGATCGTGAAGGAAAATAATCCACAGAGGGACACCACATTCACCACATTCTGATCAAACCAGTGATCCTCCAGAACCAAGCATGGACCAAACCCTTTCTGAGTCCAGTGGTGTAGAGGTTAAAGGTCATGACAAATCCAACACAGAGCCACAGAAACAGGACTCACCTTGCAACTCTTCTGAAGACAATGCAGAGAAAACAGCTACTGCCGTCTGAAAAAACAAGTATTGAAGCAAAAACCTAATGCACTGTCAAAATAAACATATAGTAATTAATAATTATTTTTTTTTAAATTATGTTCTTAAAAATGCTACAATCCTCTCTGCAGTGTGCTACAGAAAATTGTATGACTTTCACTGTAGTATTTGATTGCATAATGGAGACTGTAGAAACCATTTCTATTTTTTTGGGAGGTTGGGGTTTTACACCTGAGCATAAGGTGACTTTTGCCATGAGGGGACAGGGTGGAGTCAAGCTTATATGAACACACAGGTGCCAGTGTACTGGGCGTATGGGTGACAGGAGGTCACACGGTCTTCACCTCTATCAGGCCTGTGGACTAACTGCCACTATTACATTTTTTCAATGTTATCGAGACATGACGAGGAAAATTTTATGCATCCGGATCAGAGCAAAGCAATGAAGTACGGGGTATCCCAGGATGAGAATCACACTGCTGACTTTTTATAACAGGTAAAAATGATTATTTATTGTGCTGGCCCATTAATCTACACCAGCTGAAGAAAGTATTGAATATGTTTGAAAAATCTATGAATTTGTGTCAAGTGTTGTGGTTGTTATTATTGTTTATTATGTTGATGTACAAGAGGTGGTAGTTTTATATTTATTTCTTCCTCTCATTACTTTTGAGCTAAAATGTCAAAATCATTGTATAATCATCCGGATACATGGAGTACTCATTGGTGGACATTTACTATTGTATGATGAAAATGTGCATGTGTGTACTTATGTGCATGTGTGTATGAGCAGGTGTGTAGTAGGCAGACAATCTCTTGTGTTCACTTTGTAGATATACATCAGGTTTATTTGTACTGATTTTTGTTGCACTTATTACCTTTGTGAACTTGAATTGTGATTTTGAAAAGCTTTATGATCACCTCAAAATAAAAATAAAACAAACAAACAAAAAAACAATCAGTTCTTATAGTGTATTGCATCTAATACCCACTCAGAATAATTAAATTTTACACAGATATCAAAAATCACATTTTGTCTAGGTAAGTACATTCTGTAATTAAATAATAGATTATAACACAATATTCTACCATTGAAGGAAACTACACAAACTTTTTTTGTTTGTTCGCTATATTATATACTGGTGTGTAGTTTTAATTATACACCAATTCTGTATATATCTAAAACATCATTTGTAATGTTAGCCATTTTTCAATATTCTATTCAAAGTATTTTTTTCAGTATCTCCCCCTTAAATACAACCACTAATCACACCTGCTTACACAACCTTTTTAGTGCGTGCATGTTTTATTGAACTCCATAAAGCAATATAAAGGGCACATGCATAAAAACAATAAAACACAAGCTGAATTAATCAAATAGGCAAAACCAGATCTTAGAGGTATTTTAACCACAACACTCCACAGCTTTTGAACTGCCAGGTTTGACTATTTGCTTTGGGTTTTTGTCACTGTGTATTATTTATGCCAGGGATTTAAACTGTTAAAAGTAAACTATGGCTATTTAAAGTCAATTTAAATGGAATTATCGTTTACATTTTTGCAAAGTTTTGAGTTAGATCCCCTGAGTTCGTCAAAATGTCAAATGTCGGTGTTCAGTTTCAGTGTCACAGCCACAGTTTTCACAACCTGAGTCAGCTGAGTCTGAGGACAAAAATAAGAGCGATGGTGAAGAATCAAACACAGCCGGTCTGGAAAAGAAACCCAGAACATAATAGTGGGACCTACTAACATATTCAACAATAAAGTAATGAAAGCATGTTTGTAAAATCTGTGAATTGGTGTCAAATGTTGTGGAAATATTATTATTGTTCATTATGTTGATGTACAAGAGGTGGAAGTTTGTACATTTTTCTCCCTCCTATTCCCTTTGAACTAAAATGCCTAAATACTACAATCGTCAGGAAACATGGAGGACTCATGGTGGACTTTTAGTACTGTATAATGGATGTGCGTGTATGAAGAGATGTGTAGGAAGCAGATGTTGTACAGTATAGCCTGACTCATCAGCCGGTTTCACTTTGTGGAAACCGTCTGACCTTGCAGCGTTAGAATTCATTCGCCCGATGGTAAACGGGTACTTTTTTTTATTTAACCAGTCGCTGCTATTTGGTCGTGTCGTATGTAATGCGCCACTAAGGGGGCTAACTGGTATATTAAGCTTTTCTGAAATCCCATAGGAAGAAGGGCAATAACGTCTTTTCCCTTGATAAAATTCACCAAACTTTCTCTTTGTTCTGGCTCGGGAATCGTTGCCAACACAGTATGTATGGCTCTCCGCTGACTGGCTGGTGCCCGGACTTGCACTTCTGGGGTTTTTGCGAACCGTCTAGTGCATTCCGATTCCTGACCTAGTCGCTGGAGAGAAATGAAAATGAGCGGAGGTACTAGGTGGCACCAGTCTGGCTACATGTTGTACACCTGTAACTGGGGAATGTTGTAATTGTACTCCTGAAAATAGAAGAACCACTGGAGTGATTTTGTGCTGCTTCTCCCATGCAGAAGTTTAATGCAAAACCAAAACAAACATTATCAACAGTATCCCACATGTCTCTTAAACTTGTGTGGACACAAGATGGCGGAGTAAGAGTTCACAACATAAAACAAAAAAGTCTGGTCTTATTTATATTAAAACAAACTAATAAAACGTTTTCCTAGTCTCATTTCACATGTTCTTCTTACAGATAACTGCTTCAACAATGTGCATACAACAAGGGTAAAACATTTGGCAAACCCACCTGTAAACAGAAGAACCACTGGAGTGACTTGGTGCAGTTTCTCTCATTCAGAATTTTAATACAATGAGGAGTGTTGAGTGAAGACATTACCAATCACCAAAACAAAGGATCCCAGGCTCAGCAATCGATCACAGATATGATGAATATTACTGAAAAATAAACTGTTATAAACATTTTAGTTAACTTTAAACTGTATGTAACTGTTTTTTAAAACTTATGTAAATTAATAAAAAAAAAAAATTATATAATTGCAAACCTTTTTATTGTTTTTAACCTCTGAAATCACACTATGAACCACATCACTGCAACTATAGGCCCACAGAACATAGTATTACGGGCATATAGTACCATTCTAACTTATCACACAGAACATATAAATCTCCCGTGTTCACGTTTACAATGTACATGTAAATAAGGTATACTTGTACTGCTGTTTGTTGCACTATTTGTGAACATTTTAAACAAAAGCGTTAACATGAACAAAAAAAAAAAAAGTAATTGAATTCTACACGAATATCAAAACTCACACCGAAATCAGCTGTTAAAATGGATTTATTTAATTATTGCTTGAATGTAATTGTTGTTTTAGATCTAAGTGCATGTCGTAATGAAATAGTTGATTGCAACGCAGTATTCTAGTGTTTGAAATAAATCTTTGCCTCACTTGTTCCGAATTGTATTGCTCTATTGCCAAATCAAAAATGTTGCAAAGTTCACAGACACACCTCCTAAAACAGGCACAGGTGGTCGAGCTGCTGCAGGTGTCCCGAGTCCTGTCTCTTGTCTGAAATTCCCGCACGGATCACGTCAACCTTTGAAACGAGTGAAAGCGAAAGTTGAACAATTCTATGTTATAAGTTTGCTGCGTCGTCTCTCCAGTCCGTGCGCCATGGCCAGACTGTATTTCTACCTGTGGTTCGTCCTGAAACTAACTTTGGGTGAGTTTTGTGATCTTCTCTATCGGAAAATAATCCTTGCAAAAGTAGGCGTGAGAGTAACACTCCTACGAGATAACGCTGGGGGCAAATTGACTGCACTTGTTTTCTGGGACAGTCGTACTCGGGAGGAGTCCTTAAACTTGTCCCGATCCCTAGGCTCTTTAATGGTAAATGAATTATTACGCACAATTAGAATTTCTTTATTCAATAGCCTCTAGCCTATAAGGCGGCGTTTAAGTGGCAAAACATCTAAAATAAGTAGCCTTATAATTTAAGTATTTAGAAGAAAATTATAGTTGTAATTTAAGTATAAGGCGTCGTAAAGAGTTTAACATAAGATTCCTACATTGCCAAAGAGACGAAAGTGACAATGAGTATTATTTGAGTAAAAGTTTAATTACACTTTTGTGATGTGACAAGTATAAGTTATTCATTTGACCTCGCGGCTACAGATACTTAGCCAGTCTGGCGCCACCTAGTTTCTCCTCTCAATATCGTTTCTCTCCAGGGATACTAAAAGTGAAACTGAATTTCGTCGAGTTGTTTGGACTGTCATCTATCATCTTTGCATACACATGAAATATCCCTATCCCAATACAGACATATTACTTATACAAAGTGAACTAACTTAATCTTTATGTAATGTTATAATGTTGTTGTACAGTTACAGGTCTATCTCCGCTTTACGTCCTTAAGGGCAGAGAATTCATCTTGACTCCAGCTGTAAACAAACCCCCTGATGACATTCTGTGGAAGCACAATGAGGATAAAGTGATCACCTTTGATGGTACAGATGAGCGCGTGTTTGAACCATATCACGGCAGGGTAACTCTGTCCAGGGACACAGCCACACTGACCATCTCAGACATCAGATATGAAGACAGTGGAGAGTATGTTCTGGACGCCATCATCGGCGTGAGGCTGCACCGCTCACAATATATGCTCAAGGTCCTAGGTGAGTAAAAGGCAAAGGGAAAGACAAAGTGTGATGCAATATCGAAATAGCTCCTGTAACCTATTATTTATTGTACACTGAACAAATCTTGTGTTGTCTCACAGGCTTATCACAAGTTTTAATTGTTTTTTTGTTTTAAGGATACTGTTTCTTACTTCCATTTGGTTCACCTAATAAATTATTAATACCTAATAATTATAAAGAGACCATCAATTTTGTTCAAAGTAAACCTCCAAAAATGTCCAAAAATCTAAACATTTTCAGTTATGTTTCGTCACCAACTCTACAAGCTTTAAAACAAAAGAAAACTCACATTTTATGATTATTGTTCATTTACTGATATTATTTTGTGCAGATGAAGTTTCCAAGCCTGTGATCAGATGTGAGATGAACAGTACAAAACAGAACAGTACTATTACTTCTGCAACACTGTCCTGCTCTTCACCGTCCAACACTCCAGAAGCTCTGACGTTTATCTGGAGCCTGGAAGGTCAAAGTGAGCTGGGCCAAACTTTACCTATTGCCCTGGGCAACGGGCACGATGACATCACGTACAGCTGCACCGCAAATAACCCCCTGCAGGAAGAGACCAGCACCTTCAAGGCCAAAGACTGTTACACAGGTTGGTTCTCTTATAGAAATATTATAATGTTATTGCCTGATATTGGTAGTTTTCAGATGTTTTGTGACAATGTTATTCTCCCAGATGGGGGCAAGGGCCAGTTTTTGCTATTGATTACATTGTACTTTGCCATGAAATATCCAAAAGGTAAATGCAGAAATGTTGAACTTGTTGTTTTTTCCCAAGAACTCACTGTATTACAACATAATTTTGCATTTTTACAATTTTAATTTTAGCTACCCCATCTGTAATAATTAATATTGTTTCATAGAACGTGGTGATGTCATGTGAAACCTGTCAGTACTATGGGTACACTCACAGGGCTTCACAATAAATGACAAAAATATCAAAGTCATATATTGCAACAACACTAAGGCTTAGAGAGTTACAATTATTTTTTAAATTAAAATGTAAAATGTTTTTCCTTTTAATTTATATTTTAAATTTTTCTTAATTATCCTTGTTTGTCCATTGAATGTGTAAAAGTGAATATATTACTTTTTTCATATAGTGCACTTGTTGTACTTATTTACTACATAATAGTCAGTTATTTTCATCATCTTATTTAGCACGGTTTAACATAAGAATTTGTATTTTGACATGTGTTATTTTACTTTATTTAGCAGAAGGAACTCAAGAGCATCTGTCTATAGTTTTACCCATTGTCATTGTTTCCATAATTCTGTTGGTTGTTGGCGTTTTCTTCATCATATATTCGGCATCGAAATAAAGAGAGGTACTTTTTTATTAACCAATTACCAAATCAATTTTTAATCGTATCATAGCGACGTTATTATTGTTTTGTCTTCATTTCCTTTAGCATGTTCAAAAATGGGAAAGAATGACGACTGTGAAAAACAGCTGAAAGCAGCAGGTTGGTTCTGATGACTCAAAATGTTCTGATTTACCAAACATTTCATTATACATAATTGTGTTTTTCAAATTCTTCTCTAGAGCAAAAGCAAGATCAATCTGACCAATTTAAATCTGAGTCGGAGCCATTA